TTCCAAATGGATTCCATCTCATGTTGGCTTCCAAATACATGATAGAGCTGAGGACTTAGCCAAAGAATCTGCCTTCTGAGGAGGTGTTTATAACCTTGGTTTGGCTATAATTAGTCTGAAAGCAATAATACACCAAGAACTTCAACAAAACCTTGGAGATCTGAAATTTACACTAATAATTTCATTTATCATCACTATCGTGCAAGAAAGTCACACAGCTATAGATCATCCAATAAAATCAGCTGACTCCTAGATGTTACTACAGTTTGGCTTAAACTCTGCTATTCAAATGTATACTTAATTCTTTTGTGTCCGGGGACAGGCAGCCAGAGTGTGTTCATACACTTTAGGCTTATATCACAGCTCGTTCTCCTAATGTTTCCCAACGTCAGGAAACTGTCGTACTAAAGTGCCCTCTCCTAACCTACTACAGGACCCAAAACAGAAAACGGGACAGTATATCAATTTCACGAGCTGCTACCATTTTCTAACACCTCAATTTTTGGCCTTAGATAAAGTATGCGTCAAAATGCAACGCTTTATTAGAACGGTTTGTATATCGAACCACCCCTTTCCCCCCCAAGTCGAATTACTGACCCCGCCCAGGATGCAACCCCACAACACGCTGACTAACTCGCCTGGCGTTCCGCGAGCGCTGTCATGGGTTCGTATCCTGGCCGGGGAGGATTTACTGGGCGCAATTCCTTAACTGTAGCCTCTGTTTAACGCAACAGTAAAATGGGTACTTGGATGAAAAAACGATTCTTCGCGGCAGGGAATCGTATTCCAGGGACCTGCCCGAAACGCTACGCGTACTAGTGGCTGTACAAGAATGTAACAACTCTTGTATATATATCTCAAAAAAAACTCCTGAGTACCTACTTACTGCTAGGTGAACAGAGGCATTAGGTGACAGGAAATGCGTCCAACCATTTCTGTCCCGCCCGGGATTCGAACCCGGAATTCTCGAATGTGAGTCGAGAACGAACCCGACTGATCCTGAATAAATCTCTGGTACGCCCTCACTTGGATTATTATTTACCTATTTACCTGAGAGCCACTAATATTAGTAGCGTCGACGAGGACAGGAAGCCGGCGGGTCGTCGAAGGTATGTTAAGAGGATCATCCTTTGCCTTGATGATCATCATTTACCTTGATGATCTTTTCCAGGTGTACTTTAAAAGTTAACAGAGTTTTGACATTTACGGCTTCGGCGGGTAGGCGGTTCCATGGGTTAATAACCCTGTGGGTGAAAAAACATCTCCTGTTCTCAGTCCAACATTATGGCTTGTTGAGCTTGAACCCGTTGCCCCTAGTTTGTTACATCTGACATGTTGAAGACATTTTCCGGATCAACATCCTCTAACTTGTTCAGTATTTTAAAAGTTTCAATAAGATCCGCCCTGGCATGCTTGGCTTGTAGTGCTGTTAGCCCTGTGGTCCTCAACCGTTCCTGATACGTGAGTTGAATTAGTTCTGTAATGATTTTTGTTGCCCGGTGTTGCACTTTCTCCAGAGCAGTTATATCCTTCTGAAGATGAGTTCTCCTTGCTTGGATACAGTAATACAAATGTGGGCGCACCAGAGATTTATACAATTCAATCACTACCTTCTTTTCCTTGAAGTCAAAGGTATGCTTGATTATTCCAAGTGTTTGGTTCGCTTGCATGACTGCTCTTCCTACCTGCTGTGCAACTTTGATTGAGTGGTGGATTTTGACTCAAAGGTCTTTTTCGTCATCAGTGTGCTGTAATGTAATGTTATTAATTTGGTAGTTGTGGCGTGGGTTGTTGTGCCCCACATGCAGGGTCTTGCATTTGTCAATATTGAAAAGCATTTGCCAGTCATCTGATCATTTGTAGAGTTCCTGCAGATCTCTTTGTAAGGATTCAACATAATTATCATTTCCCACTTTACCATGTCATTTGCAAATTTTATGATGTGGTTTGTAATATTCTCATTTATGTCATTGATGTACAGTATATGTCGAAAAGCGTTGGCCCCAAATTGGAGCCCTGTGGTACCCCACGTACCACATTTTTCCAATCAGATTCATTCCCATTTAGCACCACTCTTTGGTTTCTTTGTTTTAACTATGAGTTTTATCCATTCTAGTTAGTATTCTTTCATTTATTCAATGTGCCTGTAATTTCTTTGCCAGTCTTTTATATGGTACCTTATCAAAGGCTTTAGCAAAATCCGTGTATACTTCATCCACTGGAAGTCTTTTGTCTGAGTAGCTGGTGACCGTTTCCAAAAATGTGAGCAGGTTTGTAAGGCAGGATCTATTTTTAACAAGCCCATGTTTTGTCGATTTTTTAAGATTGTTCACCGAAAGATGGTGAATGATTCCTTCCCTTAGGATTCTCTCTATGAGCTTGCAGATGTGAGATGTCACGCTAATTGGACGGTAGTTCTCCGTTGAGCTCTTTCTGACTTTTTTTAATAGAGGTAACATTTGCATATTTCCAGTCTAGGGGGACTATTCCTTGGTCCAGAGACTTTGTGAAAAGTAATTTCAGCGGTAGGCATAGTTCTTCAGCCAGTTCATGTATGACTTTGGATTGTAGTCCATCCACACCTGGGGCTTTCAAGCCTTTGTCAGTGTTCTTCCTTATTATGTCACTTGTTATGGTTATATTCTAAATTCATTCTCTTACTCTTTGAAACATTTGTGTGGGTGACGGGATGTCATCTAAACTTTCTAGTGTGAACACTGATGTAAAATATATATTTAGATTGTTTGCTGCTTCTTTGTCGTCCATTACCCTTGGGTTAGTCTCATCTTTTAAAGGGACTACCGAGACCTTAGTTTTGGTTTAACTTCTTATATAAACAAAGAATGACTTTGCATCTATCTTTATGTTTTGGGTAAGTTTTCTTTCGTAGTTTCTTTTAGCTGATCTGATTTCCTGGGTGACTGAGTTTAGTGCCCTTTTATATATCTCATAATCAGTAATGTCCATCGTGGATTTATACGTTCTCCAGAGGTTCCTCTTAATTATCAATGATTGTTTTACTGCCTGAGTCGTCCATCTAGTTCCCATTCGTTTTTTCCTCCTTTTTGGCACTTATTTAAACGAGTTCAGTGTTGACCTTAAAGTTTTGCCATGATGCTTCCATGTCATGTTCACATATTAGCTCCCTCCAGCAGATCTTTTGCAGTTTCTCTCTCATTCCTTGATACCTCGATGGTAATCTAGAAATTCTTATAAGGTTTAGTCATAAACCTTTACGTGGGTTTCTGTATTAGTAGTCCATCACAAAATATGGTGATCACATGACGGGTCTAGCTTTTTCTCTAACTGAATTTGATCAGTCATACCCTCTTCTGACGTTAGCAGAAGATCTAGTATGCTGTTACTATGTGTGGGCTCTACCACATGTTGTATGAGAAAGGAGTCGTGTACCGGGTCTAGAAATTGTTCTCCTGCTTGTGATGTTAGATTTACCCAATTTATGGTCTCATGATTAACATCTCCCATTATTAGGGTTTGAGTTTCTGATGCCGCAGTGATCACATTATGCAGATCCACAACATCCTCTGCTGCTGCTGTGTCAGTCCTGTAGCATACCCCTACTGTCATTTTGCTTCCATCTTAGTGTTAGTATGCTACACCATACAGACTCTGAGGGTCCCGTTGTGTTCAGTTCCTCGTTATTGGTGGCATCCAGATCCTCTTTCACGTATAGCATTACCCCGCCTGCTCTTGTTGGTGGGTCCTTTTTGAGAGGTGGGCGGTATCCTGGGAGATGGAATTTACCTTCTATCATGTCCTTTCGGCCCCATGTTTTACTGATGCCAATGATGTCGGGATTTTCAAGCTCAGCATACGCGCATAATGAGTCAAACTTATTTACTAGTCTTCTGGCATTTGTTTAGAAACCATATAAACTCCTGACAGTTGTTCCTGGGGGGGGGGGGGTGACGTATTGTATACAAGCATGGAGATCTCATCTTTAAACAGACATAGTTACATTGGAGAAAGTACAATATCGGGCAACAAAAATCATTCCAGAATTTAGTCAACTCTCATACCAGGAACGGTTGAGGGCCACAGGGCTAACAACATCTGCAACCCAGGCATGACAGGGCGGATCTCATAGAAACATTTAAAATACAAAATAATATGGAGGATGTTGATCGAGACAACGTCTTCAACAGGTCAGATGTAACACAAACAAGGAGCTTCAAGCTCAACAAGCCAAAATGTTGAACTGAGAACAAAAGATGCCTTTTCACCCACAGGGTTATTAAGTAAAGCAAATTTACCCATGAATTTACCCAAATTAACCCATGGAACCGCCGACCCTCCGAAGCCGTAAGTGCCAAAACTGTTGCATTTTAAAATCCAGCTAGAAAAAATCATCAGGACAAATTTGGGGACTTTTGACAAGCCGCCGGCTTCGTGTACTCGTCGTGGCCACTAGAGTGTTAGTGCAGCTCAAGAAAATTCAGGAAAATTCAGATAATAAATACCGAAATAAAAAATATAAATAACTAAATAAAAAAATATAAATAACTAAATAAAAAATATAAATAACTAAATAAAAAAATATAAATAACTAAATAACTAAATAAATAATGTGTAAATCACTGCAGTAAAAAGCAAGTTCATCCCGCAAGATGCCAGAGATACAATAATCACATCTGCCACTGTTTTATTTTTATGTATTTATTTATATACAAGAAGATACATTAGGTTGAGAAAGTACATACATTGGGGCTTGAGTGCAACATTCTTGCAAAACCACTACCACGCACAGTGCTAAGGTCAAGTCTATAAGCTAAACAAGAAAAATAGCAGAATTTGAATGTTGCTTGAATCAGCGATACTTATACTTTTCTCTAATGTCCCCGTGGCCTTACTTGCGAAAACTGAAAATAAATTATTCAATAAAATTAAGAATATGAAAACGCACATGACTGTAGCTTGAGTTACTATTGTATTGGAGGTGTTGGAGATGAAGAAAACTGTACGACACTTTGTGAGTCCAGTGAACCGCGTTGCCTGTGGAGATAAACACGACAGGCAGCCCCTCAGGTGGACCTTCTTACACCACTCGCAGCTGGTATAGGTGGTCCTGGTCAATCTTACACCACTCGCAGCTGGTATAGGTGGTCCTGGTCAATCTTACACCACTCGCAGCTGGTATAGGTGGTCCTGGTCAATCTTACACCGCTCGCAGCTGGTATAGGTGGTCCTGGTCAATCTTACACCACTCGCAGCTGGTATAGGTGGTCCTGGTCAATCTTACACCACTCGCAGCTGGTATAGGTGGTCCTGGTCAATCTTACACCACTCGCAGCTGGTATAGGTGGTCCTGGTCAATCTTACACCGCTCGCAGCTGGTATAGGTGGTCCTGGTCAATCTTACACCACTCGCAGCTTCCCAGGTGGTCCTAATCCACCTCGTCTAGTAACAGCTGTCCTGGTGGTGTTGATTTACCTGCTTTATCCACTACTAGGGGGTGCAAGCAGTGCTGATCCACCTCTACCTCAGCAAGCTACCTCCTCTTCCACTTGCAGGTGGTGCTGATCCACCACCTCATCCACAAGCAGCTTTTGCAGGTGATACTGACCAACCTTTTTCACTAGCAACTGGTGAAGGTGGGGCTAACCCACCATCTCTTCAACTAGCAGCTGTTGCAGGTGGCGCTGACTCCCACATCTTCCACTAGCAGGTGGCGCTGTTTCACCTCTACTCTGCTAACATGATCTCGCTGGCCATTCCCGACCTGGGGACCTGGGAGGGGAAGATATTTATCGGCATCTTGGGCTTCTCCTGGGCCACTTACATGTGGGAGGAATACCTGGCATACAGACAGGTAAGGTCTAGGAATAAGAACTCTTTGGTATACAGACAATAGGTAGGGGACTTCTAACAAGCTGCTGGCTTCCTGTCCCTGTTGAAGCCACTTGAGAGATTGTGGCCCTCTGGTAAACTCGGATAAGATCTGGGAATAATTTGGCATATACAAGTACTGTAATGTCTAGAAAATACCTGTCCTACAGACAGGAAAGCTTTCAAAAATACCTGGCTACAGACAGGAAAGCTTTCAAAAATACCTGTCCTACAGACAGGAAAGCTTTAAAAAATTCCTGGCCTAGAGACAGGAAAAGCTTTCAAAAATACCTGACCTACACACAGGAAAGCTTTCAAAAATACCTGACCTACAGACAGGAAAACCTTCGAAAATATCTAGCCTATTGACAGGAAAGTTTTTTTTTTTTTTTTTTGAGATATATACAAGAGTTATTACATTCTTGTACAGTCACTAGTACGAGTAGTGTTTCGGGCAGGTCCCTGGAATACGATCCCCGCCGCGAAGAATCGTTGTTACAACCAAATACACATTTTACTGTTGCGTTAAACAGAGGCTACAGTTAAGGATTTGCGCCCAGTAAATCCTCCCCGACCAGGATACGAACCCATGACAAAGCGCTCACGGAACGCCAGGCGAGTGTCTTACCACTACACCACGGAGACTGTATTTCACAAATAGAAAGTTTCATAAATACCTGGCTACAGACAGGAAAGCTTTAAAAAATTCCTGACCTAGAGACAGGAAAGCTTTCAAAAATACCTGGCTACAGACAGGAAAGCTTTCAAAAATACCTGGCTACAGACAGGAAAGCTTTCAAAAATACCTGGCTACAGACAGGAAAGCTTTAAAAAATTCCTGATCTAGAGACAGGAAAGCTTTCAAAAATACCTGACCTACACACAGGAAAGCTTTCAAAAATACCTGACCTACACACAGGAAAGCTTTCAAAAATACCTGACCTACACACAGGAAAGCTTTAAAAAATTCCTGGCCTAGAGACAGGAAAGCTTTAAAAAATACCTGTCCTACACACAGGAAAGCTTTCAAAAATACCTGACCTACACACAGGAAAGCTTTAAAAAATACCTGACCTACAGACAGGAAAACCTTTGAAAATATCTAGCCTATAGACAAGAAAGGTTTCATAAATACCTGTCCTACAGACAGGGAAGGTTTCATAAATACCAGGCCTACAGACGGGAAAGGTTTCATAAATACCAGGCCTACAGACAGGAAAGGTTTAAAGAATTTTTGATGATTAGCTTACCAATTGCTTGTAGTGTTGCTTCCTCCATGTTCAGACACAATTATGATATTGCTTGTAGTGGTGCTTCCTCCATGTTCAGACACAATTATGATATATATATATATATATATATATATATATATATATATATATATATATATATATATATATATATATATATATATATATATATATATATATATATATATATATATATATATATATATATATATATATATATATATATATATATATATATATATATATATATATATATATATATATATATATATATATATATATATATATATATATATATATATATATATATATATATATATATATATATATATATATATATATATATATATATATATATATATATATATATATATATATATATATATATATATATATATATATATATATATATATATATATATATATATATATATATATATATATATATATATATATATATATATATATATATATATATATATATATATATATATATATATATATATAAAAATAACTGAAAACTCACACCCCAGAAGTGACTCGAACCCATACTCCCAGAAGCAACGCAACTGGTATGTACAAGACGCCTTAATCCACTTGACCATCACGACCGGACAAAATGAGGTGATAGCCGAGGCTATTTGAACCACCCCACCGCCGGCACTCGGATAGTAATCTTGGGCATAGCATTTTACCAAATCACCTCATTCTTTGGGGCACACGTGAGGAACACAAATGCGAACAAGCCTGAATGGTCCCCAGGACAATATGCAACTGAAAACTCACACCCCAGAAGTGACTCGAACCCATACTCCCAGAAGCAACGCAACTGGTATGTACAAGACGCCTTAATCCACTTGACCATCACGACCGGACAAAATGAGGTGATAGCCGAGGCTATTTGAACCACCCCACCGCCGGCACTCGGATAGTAATCATGGGCATAGCATTTTACCAAATCACCTCATTCTTTGGGGCACACGTGAGGAACACATGTGCCCCAAAGTGAGGAACACATATATATATATATATATATATGTGTGTGTGTGTATATCACGAAAATAAACACGTGATTAAGAATGTGACAATGTCAGACCACGGAGGAAAAATGAAACAGGAAATTTCCTTAAGTACTTTCGTGTACCCCTTCTGAAGATGTATTTAATATACGAAAGTACTTAAGGAAATTTCCTGTTTCATTTTTCCTCCGTGGTCTGACATTGTCATATATATATATATATATAATATATACACTGTGCACAAGAAAAAAAATGTAATTTTTTTTTTCCTTTTAAAATTGTTAAAATGTGTTCCCTGATCATGTAAAAAAAATTGTAGGTGACACATTTTGGCCATGATAGGGTGAGGAAGTCTAGCAAGATACAGACGCTGAAAAAGTACACGTCCGGTCTCCTCCAGCCGAGCCATCAGACGGAAGTTGCCACAGATTTTATTACTGTACCTAATTATTTCAATGTCTCTTTTTCAGTAATATTATTCAATGGTGTGTAGTGTCATATACTTGTATAATAAAATGTGTGAACCATGTTATGCTAAAAAATATGGTGTGCATATTAGTGATTCAGTTATGTTCATAAAACAATAAAAAAATATTTTTGCTGTTATAATACTATATACACACATTAAATATAAATATCTGCACGTCTTGTTCACCATAACCATACCACTAAGCTGGTATGGTGTGTCCAAACATCATAGCGGCCACCGTACACTGTATGCCAAGTCACACTGGCCAGCTGACACCACCTCACTCACTCACTACCCTCCTACCTCCTAATCTCACTCAGAGATTCCTCCGACCAACATACTGTTTTTGCTGTTATTGCACTATATATATACACACATTATATATAAGTATCTATATTTCTGTTCACCAAAAAATAACTAATCTTGTATGGCGAGTTCAAACAATATACTGTAGCTACTGCCACATACCAGCCAGCTGACAATGCCACTTCCCTCACTCCTAACTAACATTCCTTCCCTCATCATACTATGCACATCGCTAGTTCTCACCATAATGCTGCTATTATCAGAATCCTGGTCACTAAATCCTGTAAATGAATAATTTTACACAAGTTTATTTTGTAAGGGAACATGAGAAGTCATTTCAAGACTCTTTGATGGACCGAACAATGGCAGTGTGCTGTGGCTACCTGTGCTGTGAACATCTTGAACAGCATTGTGTTCACTGATATCTGAACATTGTAGTCTTTATCACAGCTAGGTTCTTCTGTAATACTATCATAGCTAAATAATAGCAGTTATATATATATTTTGACATTTTTAAGCAATGCTGTGGTCACAAGCTGAACAGCACTTCTGTTCATGCTGCGTGTGCCAGCCTTGGTGGCTCACTCAGTACTGAGGCTCTTACACCTGGGAATGTTGCCCACGATTTTTTCTTAAATGGCCTGTGTTTACTGGAACCCTGAGGAAGCTGATGTGAACCCCGTGTAGTCGGGGACTTTTAAATCTTATGCGGTACTTTTCAAAGTATATATATACGATGTGCTTCGTGCAGGCAGTTAGACCAAAATCATATACTGTACTGGTATATACAATTTGCACTGTTAAGGGTTAAAATAAGAGTAGCTGGTTTATTGTAATGCAATTTTTTTAAAGATGTGTCAGTTGAGCATTTAGTATTTGAAATTAAAATACAGTATTATGGAATTACATTACTGTACAGTATATATACATTATATTTATTTTGTTGTTTTCTTGGAAAAATTATTAGCCTATTTAAAAACAGCACCATACATACTGTACTATGTTCATCTAATTTGAATGGGTAGTGCAGTCCAATAGCTTAATTTCAAGACAAACATTAAGGACCGTATGGTAATCACAATTAGTTAAGCAATAGCAAAATATTGTAACAACAGTTTTGAATAAGCAGTGAGGCTCATAGGCTAATCTGTGATACATATTTAATATTCCTAATTTCATTCTTCTCCAAACAGCGTCGAGTGTATCGAGAGAAAGTGGAGCCACCAGAGGAACTAAAGGGTATTATGGAGCGGGTCACATATGAGAAGGCTCGAGTATATGGCCTTGACAAGAGCAATTTTAGCCTTATTGAGGGAGCCTTCAGTCAAGTTTTGAGCACAGTAAGTATTCCTTCTAGTGATCAAATTGCTAGTGGGAAGCCATCTCGCTGAAATGGCTCCCCACTACTGGGTCACATCAGTCACAGGAATCCTGTTTAGCCCACGAGGGACCAGAGCCAGAATCTGGCCTCCTTAGAGGCACAAGGAACTGGATTCTTACAATCACATACACCAGGAAAAGCAACTAGACAGTGAAGCAATACAGACAATTACAAGGTTCATAGAAAATGAAGCACCATAACAGCCAAACATCTTCACAAACGATTCATTCGAAACAAATGGTTTGCTTGAAACTAGCTCGAACGTGCAAATGGCAGCCCACTATGTGACCCCGAGCTTCTGGCTAGCAGCCGGCTACTGCTCAGTCCTGTTACTGATCTGTGTAAAAGTGCTCCCAGGGTTGCCTCTTTGTAATGGGTCCCATGTCTTTCTCAGCTAAGTGCTGGCCATCCTTTGGACTTTGTCATGTAGGGGTTGTTTGCTTGTTAATTGTTACAAATCCCTAGTACTGTATTTGCTTTTAGAGCATATTTTTCTGCCAGTATCCTTGCATGTACAGTACTTGGGATATTCTTAGCTTTGAGCTGCATGTGTCTAGGTTGACTCTTCTCTAGGCGCTTTCCTAGTGTTTCCCTTGCACTCAAAGTTATTTGTCTCGTGTGTTCTAGAGTTTGCCGCCGAGAGGTCAAGCCATCAGGGTAAAGAGCCTTGCACTGGGTAGTGCATGAGTCTTTGACTCTGTGAGACCTTATGTCTAAGGGTGTTGTAATTGGTTGAGGTTGATTGGGGTGTGCTTGTTTATGCTGAACACCATGGTCATGTTAACTTAGGCTGCATTTGGTGTCTGTTCTTTCAGTGAGCATTCCTAGTGCCTGGGTGTCCTGCTTGGTTAGTCGATTTTAGGATTTCTTAATCCTTGATAGTCTGCAGCATGGTTAGTTATGGATTGATCTGTCAAGCCTGCACTCACTGCTTGTGAGTTTGAAGGGTGGCTTACAGTGTGGTACTGTACTCTACTTGGATGCCCCAGAGTTGGCCCCTGTGTTATTTAGGGATTTGGATTTGGGGGTGTTGATGTTTTCTACCTGGGCTACAGGCTGTACAACCTGTTCCTTTTTCTTACTGGTGTGGTTCACCCAGTTTCTGTTCTCCCCCCCCCTCCTCCCGGTTTCAGAGTTGGGTCAGGTTTAGCTTTGGATATAGCTCGGCAATCTCTGAAGCGTGGCCCCATTCACTTCAACGGCAGAGGTAGTTGATTCATCCCTTCCTGCCAGAGATGCAGAGTCTTTGCCTTCACAATCTATAATTAGCTCCGATCTTGTCCTTGATGATGCCTTTCTATCCCAGGCATACGACTTTGCTCCGGGGCCATCGTGGCAGACTTCCAGGGCTAGGGGAGAGCCTAAGGAGGGTCTATAGGCTGCCCTTCAATCCTTTCTGGATGTTATTTCTGCCAGATGTGCGGGTATTTTGCTCCCGGGTAGGTGGAGGGTGGACTTTGATGCAACAGCTTGAGTCCTTGGCTGCTCCCCCAATGTTAGTTTCCGTGTTCCATTAGGTTCTACGGATTTGTTGTCTTGTGCAGAAACCTCCAGGTTTTGGAGGTTTTCTGACTTGTGCCATCTGTGGCACAGGTGGTTACTCCTGTGAAGTTTAAACAGTGATTCTTTGATGGACCCGGCGGTCTTGTTTGGCTCTGCTGCTGCCTATTGGCTATATTATGACGTACCAGATTCATCCTAGCTGGCTGACAGTCCTCTTTGTTCCTTGAGGGTTTTTCCTCAAGGAACAAAACCCATGTTCCTAGCATGAGTTTTTCAAACCTGAATGCTTGATTGGCAGACAGTGTGTTCTATCAAATATTTTTGGGTGATAAACAGGTACAGGTGAAGCAGGTACTCCTTATGCACTGCTTCAGGACTGCTTGTTTTCTCTGGTGCTCCCCAAGGATGTGGGCATGTGGCAGCTCTATGTGCAGCTGCCTGTGCTCTGCAGCCCTTACTGTGGAAGACCACAGGGCTTGTACCCACTTGGCAGCCATCATGCGTGTTTGAGCAGTTACGGAGCTGTTTGCAGACAAGCTCCATGAGGGCTTCGATTTACTGGTGTTGGTTCCTGATATAGCTGCCTTGTTGCCTATGGTACTGGCTTTGGCAACTTTGCCTGTGCTGCTTGCCCCTCTCTTTTAGGAGATGGTGGCAGCTTTTCAATTGGCCTGTTTCATGTGTCAACAGGCTGTGCTGGCTAAAGCTTATAGATTTGGCCTGGTCCTTAATCCTTTTGTCAACCACCACCACATTTTATATTTTCATCTTTCTCAGGGAGGCTGTTTCAAGTCTTCATCTGCTGCATTGATGTTTAAGCCTCATAGATCTTTTTCCAGCAGAGTTCTGCCTCCTCTGGTCGGAGGGGGTCTGGTAGAGATGAGAGGCTCGCCTGCTGTCAATCAGGTAGGGCCCCCGGCAGTCAGATTTTTGGGCTCTTGCACTTCCTACGGCTGTTGCCTATTCTACACGTTGTTGCTATTATGAGTTGTAGATGGATGGCTCTGTTCGTGGTTCTTCATGCTGGTCCTTTTTGTGGTTAGCCCCTAATGATGGTTTTGTGGGGGTGTGTTTAGTCTGGTTTACGAACTCCTGGTCCCACAATTTGTGGGCATGTCCCTATTATGTCCCTCAGCTCTTGGTGGAGTTGGTCATCCCCCCCCCCCTCTCTCCTTCTGTTAGAGGGATCTGGGGTGTTGGGTCAGGAGTCTTCCCATCAGCACTGCACTGTCATTGTGCCATGGTTGGATTCAGGTGTGGTCGACTTAACCTCATCTCTTCTGTGGGGGTCCCGAATTGGGATTTAGTGGACCTATGGTATGTTCTTGACCTCTCATGACTGAACAGCTTCATTACCTGTCTGACCTTCTGCATTACCTCTGTGGCTTCGCTTTGCCTAATGTTACAGGCACTTACCTGTAGGGTGTCCCTGGAACTCAAGGATGCATACTAGCACATTCATATTCATCTGGGGTTCCAGGACTGGTTAGGGTTAGTAATGGGGGTATCAGGCTTACCAATCCAAGGTTTTACCCTTTGGCTTGAATCTGGCTCCTTGGATTTTTACCAGTACAGTATAACGTGGGTGGTGGTGATCAGACTGTCTTTAGGAGGTTAGTGTTTTGGTGTACCTCAATGACTGACTGGTTTGGGTCTCTAGCCAGTCCACATGTCAACTTGCCAGGGATCTGTTACTTGCTAGGCTTGGGTATTTGGTGCCCTGGTGGAAGCCCCAGTTGGTTCTACCCTAGGTTCAGACCCAGTTGGGGATTACTGGTTGGCATATCTTTCTCTGCCTCCTGCAGGTCTGCTCTGGCTGCAGCAGCATTGCCATCTGGTGTTGGTTTCGTGACTATGAAGTGTCAGTATGAAGTGTCTTAGCACTCATTTCGCCTCTCTTTGTCCTTTCATGATCTGTCTTCATGCTCTGTTCATGTGGTTCTGTCCTTTTTGTCTTTTTAATTTTTGGATCAGATGCTTGTTTAGAGAGTTTTTCAGTTGTTTGTTTATGTTGTTGGGGAGTTCATTAAGTAGGTTACCTGGTTGATGGGGTTCTGGGAGTTCTTCTACTCTCCAAGCCCAGCCCTAGGCCAGGCTTGACTTGTGAGAGTTTGGTCCACCAGGCTGTTGCTTGGAGCGGCCCGCAGGCCCACATACCCACCACAGCCCGGTTGGTCCGGCACTCCTTGGAGGAAAGAATCTAGCTTCCTCTTGAAGATGTCCACGGTTGTTCCGGCAATATTTCTGATGCTCGCTGGTAGGACGTTGAACAACCACGGACCTCTGATGTTTATACAGGGTTCTCTGATTGTGCCTATGGCACCTCTGCTCTTCACTGGTTCTATTCTGTATTTTCTTCCATATCCTTCACCCCAGTACATTATTTTACTGTGCAGATTTGGGACCTGTCCCTCCAGTATTTTCCATATGTATATTATTTGGTATCTCTCCCGTCTCCTTTCTAGTGAGTTGGCATACCTCTCATATTGTCAGAAGGAAGCAGGTTGTGAGGCTTCAGTCTCTCTTAAAACCCAGCCATGGTCTGTATTGGTTTGCTGACTTTATAGGAGCCTTCCCCAATGTGCTTGGGGGAAGGCACATTTACTCCTCAAGCCGGACATGGGGAGTAAAAAAAAACTCCCAAACCCTCTCGAGGTAAGATGAGGTGGTGGAGTCGCCTGCTTCCTGTGCCCCTATGAGGGGGACAGGTTCTGGGGCTGGTTCCTGGGTAGGCTGAACCGAGTTCCAAGGTTGATGCAATCTAGTTAGAGGCCACCTTAGCAAGATAGCTGTGGTGGCTCACCCAGAAATTGGGGCTTCATTTCATTCAATGCATGCTGCTGCACCAGAGCTAAACAAAGTGTCTCAAATTCAGTATGAAAATCAGTGATATAATTTAAGTTTAAATATGATCAATAGCTTTCTCATGGCTCACAAATCCCTAATCTAATGTTGTTCCTCATACCCACCACAGCCACCGGGTTGTGGTGGGTATGTGGGCCTGCGGGCCGCTCCAAGCAACAGCCTAGTGGACCAAACTCTCACAAGTCAAGCCTGGCCTCGGGCCGGGCTTGGGGAGTAGAACTCCCAGAACCCCATCAACCAGGTATCAACCAGGTTCCCATCTACAAAGTCCTTATAAATACTGTAAGAACAATATTAAATGATGTATCATTTATACCTTCATATTTTCCATGCTCTGAGGCTATATTTAGACCTGGTGGAAGGTATATTCTTCCTAATAGGTCTTACTTATTAGGAAGGTAATATTCTTACATTTACAAGAATGTAAGAACTCTTTTTAAATATAAATAAAAAAAACTACTGAGAATGTTAAGTTATTTTATCGCCATTTTCCCCTTTCAAAATGATTATCCACCAGGATCACCTGACTAAAGAAGTGTGAATCCCATCACCCTTCTTCCATATGGCCTGGGCCAAAACATGTCCTAGAGACATACCAAAGTATAAGGTGTTTTGAACTGTACAGTTCTGTATTGTGCCTAAAGCCTTAAATTTGCACAGAAAAACTTTGCACAAAATTTGTTAATGGATTGTAACACTACAATACGTTAATTTGTATTGTACAGTGTTAATATACCATAATATTTGTGTCTTATTATTTATATTTTGTTTATACTGTATTAAAATTCTTGGTACTAGAATGCATTCAGTTTTTCCCATAGATCCTTAACAAGAAGCTACAGAAACCAGTTTGATTCCTTATGGTCCCAAGGAACTCGCCTTTGCATAAAATCATGAGTATTTTAACTGATTATCACTGCTTTTCCATTGTACACAAGTGTAGAATTCATTGTTATTCTTCATTAGTTGTGCACAAATATATACTATACAGTAATACAGTAATTATAATAGTTGTACAAGTGTGTAATTGACAATTATCTTTCATCAGTTTGTGTTGTGTGTATTAATGCTCAATATTGTTGTTTTTCTAGGGAATTATGGTGTGTGGAGGTTTCCCAGCATTATGGGCTGCTTCTGGAAGGTTATCGGCATGGCTGGGGTTTAATGCTGATGCAGAAATCCCTCAGACTGTAACTTTCGTCTGTTTAGGGTCACTCCTCAACACCATCATGAGCCTTCCCTGGTCAGCATATTTTACTTTCAAGGTGGAGCAGAAACATGGCTTTAACAAACAGGTGAGTGTGGTCCTCCACACAGGGAGGTGGTGTAGTTGAAGAAAATCAATTGGTGTTTGATCCCTACCGAGGATACCTAATTAGCGTAAGATTTAATTATTATATATTATTATGATAGGGTTTTAGGAGCCAGCATTTAGCCTAGACCCAAAAAACCTAATCAATACTATTAATGATAAGTACAGGCATACCTCAGAATAAGAGTTTAATCCGTTCCTGGAGACGCCTCGCCTTCCGAAAACTCGCATTCCGAAGTTAATTTCCCCATAAGAAATAAAGGGAAATGAATTAATCCGTTCCTGACTACCCCAAAAACCCCACATCAAACTAAATTTTTATACCTAATTTACCTAATTCATCTAAATAAACCTTCAAAACTGTGTTCCAGTTATTACTTACCTTGCTGTCGAGTGCTGTAGGCGTATGGAAGATGGTGAGGAGGGGGGAGGAGGAGAGGAGTTACTGTTTGGAAGGGGAGTCCCCTTCCATAATCACATCACATAACCCAATGCCTTGTAACACTATGGATACCACTTCTCTTACTAAATTTTTCAAACCAGCCCCTGCTTGCCTTAAACTCTTTCTTATCTGCATCACTCGTTGCAGGGGTATTCTTTAGAAGGTCTTCGTGCAACACCCTGGCTTTCTCACAAATAATGGCCTCCGAAACACTATCACCCCTTAACTCCTTGTCGTGTATCCAAATTAATAACAACTTTTCCACTTCTTCAAGTATTTGTGGTCTTTGTGCCGTTAATGTTCTTACTCCTTTTGCCACTTTAGCACCCATAATCTTATTTTTCTTCTTAAGTATAGTGCATATTGTTGATGTGGCTTTGTTGTACTGCCTACAAAGTTCAACAACACGTGTACCGTTCTCATGCTTCCGAATGATCTCTTGTTTCTCCTCTATTGTCATCCTCACATGAGCTTTTTGGCCTTTATCCTTACCACTGGCTTTCTTGGGACCCATGGTGAGATATATAATAACAAATTGTATAGACAAATCACCAAAAATCCAACAAAACACTGAAAATCCGCGAGAAGAATTGATGTGGGGGTAGTCACTGAGCGCGAGACAATAATAAACTGAGGGGCGGAGGGGTGACGAACGCGCTAGGTCGGCTGTACGCGTATCAACAAACTCGCGTCCAAACTCGCCTCCCGAAGTAACCCTCGCCTTCTGAGACAAATTTTTGGAGTAAATACACCTCGCCTTCCGAAAACCTCGCATACAGGGACAATCGCATTCCGAGGTACCACTGTAGTAATAATTTAAGCTTGTATTAATTAGGCTTCCCTGGTAGGGATATATTAGGTTTTCTAGTTTAATATTTCCTCATTCTTTCCTTCTTGCAACAGAGTTTGGTTCAGTTTCATGAACGGTTCCTTCATAATATTGACTTCAAACTTTAGTTTTCTTAAGTTTTAACAAACAAACATTGTTGCTCTTGAAATGGACTAAAATAGAGCATTGCAGTCACACATGGCAACTTTTTCTGGGAGGGACCCATCACTAGCTCCCCGAGCTTAACTTTGGTATCTCTGAGCCTTAACCCAACACACCAGGTCTCTGAGCCCCATCTGTCACCTACCAGGAACCAGGACCAGAATGTGGCTGATATTTAAGCCAGGGAACCAGAGGATCAGATTTCATCTACAAAACAGGAAACCCGACCCGACAGCATAGGCACAAGAAAGCAAGTGACTCTTTTAAGGAAAATATGCATCCTCCTGGGTAAACGAGGCAAAATATCATTTCTGGAGGGAGGAAAGGGTCATTTATCAAACATTCTCTGGGCAATGCCAGCAACCCTTAAACTCAAACACAATCTATAGAGATTAAATGTAGTACCATATAAATTATGCATTAAATATGTCCCTCTGAGAAAGATAAGAAAAAGGTTCGCCCTAAAACTCGACAAGCACCTTCAAAGGATACCTAATCAATTAGGCTGTGACTCGTACATCAAGCTGCGGGCAGCCTGGTTGATCAGACTAACCACCAGGAGGCCTGGTCAGAGACCGGACCACGGAGACATTTATCCTCAAAATCTCCAACAGATATTCAGGTAGTTAGAAAGAGAGTGCAGACAAATATACAGAAGAAGAATGAAGGTTACAGGAACACTCAAGCAGCAGCAAGTCTTCCCACACAGGCAGGCAAACCTTCACATAAAAATCATGCAGATATAATAAAAACTTAAACACCGGTGGCTGAGTGGACAGAACACTGGACGCGTGATCCTGTGGTCCCGGGTTCGATCCTGGGCGCCGGTGAGAGACGATAGGCAGAGTTTCTTTCACCCTGATGCCCCTGTTACCTAGCAGTAAATAGGTACCTGGGAGTTAGTCAGCTGTCACGGGCTGCTTCCTGGGGGTGGAGGCCTGGTCGAGGACCGGGCCGCGGGGACACTAAAGCCCCGAAATCATCTCAAGATAACCTCAAGATAACCTCAAGATAACCCATAACAAAATGAAGAAATACAGAAAGAGCAGAAAGCCTTCCAAGAAATAGAAAACCCCCAGAAATGCTACTTTACATATGCAAAGAACAAGCAAGAGATTCATACACTGATGACTCAAAATCAATACTAAATACTCATTCAAAATCAATACTAAAAAGTACCTAATTTCATCTTCATAGTTTTTCACTTTTTGCCTTAAAATTGCACTGTATCAATTGCTACCCAATCTCCCAACCTTTATGTTCCCAATTTGAACATCTTTACCATTGAGATCATTGCTGTCTTCTTATATGTGCTGTCAATCTGCTGTATGGTGTTTATAAATCTTGTTTATCTGTATCTTTTGCTACCCAGTCTCCCAATCTTTATGTACCCATTCTGAACATCTTTACCATTGTGATCATTGCTGTCTTATATGTGCTGTCAATCTGCTGTATGGTGTTTATTAATCTTGTTTAAATTACTAATCAAGCTGTCAATGTAATCAATCAGAGCTTTAATATAACAATGTGCTTTAATATACTTATTTATCTCTCTCATCTCATTTTTCTCTTGCAATGTATTTATTATCATTTATCAATTCTGATAGAAATTACCTACTTAAAATTATCTGCTAGATTAAGGACCTGCCCGAAACGCTGCGCGTACTAGTGGCTTTACAAGAATGTAAATACTGTACTATCCAATGTATTCTCACAAACCCAATGTACCTTCTTGTATATATATAAATAAATAAATAAATAAATAAATAAATGACAATAGAGAAATTAGCAAAATCCTAAAAGAACAATATTAATCTTATATATAACTATGCAATGGAAACAATGAAAGTGGAAAACTGTAATAACTTCTTCATGAACTCGGTCCACAAAGTAATTTAGGTGTCATATACAGAATTACAAAAGAAAAAGACAGTATAACAATGCACTCAGCTCTGGGGTTTAAGTCTTGGAATTTATTGTTTATAAAGATGTACAGTCCCTGGTGGCATTGTAGTAACACACCCTGTATCGGGAGCAGTTTGGTCTAGGTTTGAGTCGTGGTCGCTGAGGATTGACTGGGTGCTGGTCTTTACCTGTTTGCCTTTTGTTCACCCAGCAGTAATTGGATATCTAGTTGTGTTATAGGGAAAGCTATTGGGTAAGGCTTACTAACCCCTACAGAAAATTGCTACTCTTCCATAAGTCCATATCATACACACAATGCAACGCCATACTCCAACACTAACTTCTTCATAATATTTGCTCTTAGAGTGCATGACGTGTTTTACAGTTTTCCTCTCGATTCTTTGACAGACTCCAGGGTTCTTCTTGAAGGATAAGTTGAAGAAATTCATTGTGTCACAGATCATTTGTACACCAGTTGTATCAGGCTTGGTCTACATCATCAAGGTAAGGGACATTGCATTATCACATGTATTGTAATTAGTACTAGCATTTATGCTCTTGTTGGTATATATCATATGTACCCTTACTGTACTGCATGTTCAATGCACCATTTTCTATTAAATGCCTAATAGGCATGTGTAGTGTCTTCAGAGGTTAACAGTGAGGGATAAACTTGCCATATCAGTACTGTATCTTGTATGAAAGTAATGGTGAATATTGAGGGTACGAACCATATATTTAAGCAAGTCTAGTGAATGAGGCTAGTAAAGTTCTTGATTTTACAGGAGAGTTGTGTTTGAAAGAGTACATAAAATATATACAAAAATGGCTACTGGTAAATAAGATGGATTGTGTGGTAGAGATAATTTGTGTATCAGATGTTGACAAAACCACACACTAGAAAGTGAAGGGACGAAGACGTTTCAGTCCGTCCTGGACCATTCTCAAGTTGATTGTGCTTGACAATAATCCAAACCATTCACAATTGACTTGTGAATGTCGATTGGTCCAGCACAGAGCGAAACATCAAAGTCCCTTCACTTTCTAGTGTGTGGTTTGGTCAACATATTTCAGCCACGTTATTGTGACTCCTCGTCTGCATCTGTGTATATCAGATGTTTGAGGCGAGACAACGATTAGGAAAAGGCACATGAGATTTGGGTGTGTGATGTACATTGTCTTTATAGATCTAAAGAAAGCCTATGATAAAGAAAAAGGGATGATAAGGAGTCTAGTAAGTATGATATAGTAGAATTTTCCACAATTATACTAAGTTGCTAGATTGTGGAGCATATTTTAATCAATGATGTTTCAAAATGCACTGTGTAAAGGGCAGGGATACCATGTTCAGTTGCTCTAATGCAGTTGATTCAATAGCCTAATAAAATTAAAATTTATTTGCTGCATTGCTTTTATATATATACATTGGATATTGATGACTGTAGTTACCTTTATTAATATTGTCCTCTTTACCTTTTTGTCCACTATTTCTCATCATGTAGGCCTTCTGACAGATGTATCTTAGTGTTTATCTCACTCATGGCAAGACTTTTAAGTAGCACACTTTAGAATGATAAAAAACAAATAATTTATGTATGTATTTTGTATGTTAACGTTACAGGCTGGTGGAGACTACTTTTTCCTGTACCTGTGGGGCTTTACAATGGTGGTTGTGATGTTTTTCATGACAGTGTATCCAGATTATATAGCACCGCTCTTTGATAAGTATGAGCCCCTTCCTGAAGGTGAACTCAAAACCAGAATAGAACTCTTAGCAGCAGAGATCAAATTTCCCCTTACTAAACTATATGTTGTTGAAGGTAAGTGCTTCCATGTATGTGAATAATCACATATTTCAAAATTCTTTCTACTATTCAAGATAAGTAGTATTTTTTCTTTATTTACATGTGAGTCCTGTACAGATTGATCATCAAAGATCAGTCACCTGTTTTGTTTGAGTCTTGCATAAGTATGAAAGTCAAAATAAGGCAAATGTGCAAAACATGCTTGGACATTCCATTGTATGACTTTTGATATCAGTTACTGCTCTAATTTCACATTCAAAGTCTTAGTGTTATTAGTACAGGGGTACCTCGGTTTAAGAGTTTAATCCGTTCCTGGAGACAGCTCGTTACCCAAAAACTCGTAACCCAAAGCTAATTTCCCCATAAGAAATACAGTAATGGGAAATAATTTAATCCGTTCCAGGCTACCCAACAACCTCACTTCAAACTAAATTTTATACCTAATTCATCTAAAACTATACCTCAAAACTATGTTCAAGTTATTACTTACCATTGCTGATAAATGCTGTAAGCGTATGGAAGATGATGAGGAGGGGGGAGGAGGAGAGGAGTTACTGTTTGGGAGGGGAGTCCCCTCCCATTATCACATCAGGCAGTGAGGACCTCTCAGGGGTGCATTCTCTGGCATGTTTTGCCTGCATACCACTAGGTCCTGGTTTTGGCTCACTGCTCGATGTTCTCACAACATATCTGTCTATGGAAGATTGTTTTTCCCCTCTTCACAAGATGTCTCTGTAGTGAGGCATCACATTGTCATTGAAAAGATTAATGCAACGGCCTACTACAGCTTTATCTGTGTGAGTTTTTTCAATAAAAGTTTGCATTTCTTCCCGCATCTGACACCATTTCTTAATGTCACAGAAGGGACATTCGCTACTGCCTCATCCTCCTCCACTGGAGAAACATCATCAGCTGGGTCGTCTTGCTGTTCCTTTTGAAGGGCTTTGAGTTCTTCGGTGGTCAGTTCTTCATTGTCTTCTTCCACCAATTCCTCCACATTATCACCATCTAATTCCAAGCCCATTTGCCGGCTCAGAGTAACAATTTCCTCAACAATAGGCGCATCATTTACAGGCTCAAACCCCCTCAAAGTCTAGTTCTGTCACACATTCAGGCCACAATTTTCTCCAGCCAGAGATCAGGGTTCTTTGAGTCACTTCTTGCCAGGCTTGTCAACAAGTTTTAAAGAACTACAAATGTTAAAATGGTGTTTCCAGAACTCTTTGAGGGTGAAATTTGTGGCTTCAGTCACTTCAAAACATTTTCGGAAAAATGCCCTTTCATAAAGTTTCTTAAAATTAGCTATCATTTTCTGGTCCATAGGCTGAATTAGAGGAGTGGTGTTAGGAGGAAGGAACTTTACTGTGAGAAATTTATTGTATCTGTGCAACAATTCATCTTCCAAGCTTGGAGGATAAGCAGGAACATTGTCGAGGAGAAGCAGGGCCTTGAGTGACAAAAGTTTCTCCTGCAGATATTTTTCTATGGCAGGGCACACAACTTCATTCACTCACTCCAAAAAAAAATCCTAGTCTCCCATGCTTTTATTATTTGCCCTCCACATCACACACATTTGATTTTTCTGCACTTTATACTGTTTGAAAACCCTTGGATTTTCAGAATGATACACTAGCAAGGGTTTAATTTTCAAATCTCCACTCGCATTAGAACACAGCACAAGCGTAAACCTATCTTTTATAGGCTTGTATCCGTGCAATGCTTTTTTCTCCTTGGTAATGTATGTCCTCTTAGGCAGTCTTTTCCAGAACAGTCCTGTTTCATCACAATCAAACACCTGTTGCGGGTAGATATCCCTCAGCCTCTGCAAACTCTTGAAATTCTTCAATAAATTTCTCAGCGGCTGGTTTGTCTGAGCTGGCAGCCTCCCCATGCCTCACAACACTATGAATACTGCTTCTTTTTCTAAATTTCTCAAACCATCCCCTGCTTGCCTTAAGTCTTTCTCTGCATCCGTTCCAGGGGTTTTCTTTACAAGGTCTTCGTGCAATACCCTGGCTTTTTCACAAATGATGTCCTCTGAAACACTACCACCCTCTAACTCTTTGTTGTGAATCCAAATTAATAACAACTTTTCCACTTCCTCAAGTATTTGTGGTCTTTGTTTCATGATTGTTGATACTCCTTTTGCCACTTTGGCACTCATAATGTCCTTTTTCTTGGCAAGTATAGTACATATCGTTGACGTGGATTTGTAGAACTGCCTACAAAGTTCAACAACACGTGCACCATTTTCATGCTTCTGAATGATCTCTTGCTTTTCCTCTATTGTCATCCTCACATACGATTTCTTGCCTTGAACCTTACCACTGGCTTTCTTGGGACCCATTGCGATGTACTGAATATTATAACAAATTTTATGCTCAAATAGCAAAAACTCCAAAAATAACTCCTTGTGAAGAATTCAGGCGGGATAGGCACTGGGAACAAGACACTGGCAAACTGAGCGGCGATCGCCGTGCCACCATGCGCTAGGTCAGCCCGTACGAGTATCAACAAACTCGTATCCTGAGGCAACCCTCGTAACCCGATACAAATTTTCCGAGCAAATCCTGCTCGTAACCCGAAAAGCTCATAACCAGGGGCACTCGTAATCCAAGGTACCACTGTACTAGAGATGAAGATCAAGCTTTAAAAGGAATTGGCTAAATTTGTTTTTCTAGGGGAGCCTCTTGGTGTCTCCCTGAAGCTGTCTTGCCGAGATTGCTCCATACTAATTAGCCACTTCATTTATAACAGTTCTTGTTTAACCTGCCAGACCAGAGCCAGAATCTGGCTCTCCCTCAGAGAGGTGCAAGGAACAAGTGACAATACTCTACTCCATCAGGAAAATATCCAGAAATTCAGGGAAGCATTATAGACAATTTGAGTGTTCATAGGAAATGAAGCCTTGAACCGCCAAACAACTCTGCAAATGAATCACATGGAACAAGAGAATCACTCGAAACTAACCTGATGAATAAAATATTAAAAGGAGTATAATCTTTATTAAATTATATGATCATAAAATTTAATGAACAGAAAAAAAATTATTAGTATGAAATAAGTTACACTCTAAATGAAATCAGTAGTATAGATAGCCGCCACCAGGCAGCCCGACTGCACTAACAGCCAGCTTTCAATGTCAGTTCAGAAACTGATGAACAATTCCTCAACAAACCTGGGAAGGAGGGAGGAACACAGGGAGCCACTAGGGCACTGCCAGAGAGAGATATTTCACTACAGTCAATGCAGGGTTTCTGGGGAAGCCCCATGGTGGCTCCCTAAAGCTAGCTAACCGCAGATAACAATGGGCTAATCAGGGAGGAGGAGAAGTGGCAGGCACTAACATGAAGGATGGAAATCAGGCCAGGACACAGCCAAAAGCAACACAAGACTGATTGGGACCAGGAATATTAACCAAATACCGGGCTACCAATACTGTATTAGAACATCAACACCCTCGAGGATTTCGAGTTTGGGTCATCTAGTTGCTTTTCATTGCAGTACAGTACTAGGTTACTGATTCTAAGCTGGCTTGCGGACAATTCCTTGTTTTCCTTGGGGGCTTGGCCATGGATTTTTCTGTACTGAAATGCTTGAGTGGCAAGGTCAGATCTGTCTTCCAGGTGTTCTTGGGTGATGCATCTTTTGCACTGCTGGAGAATTTATTGTTTACTCCAGTTCTGCCTTAGAATGTGATAGCTCCATGTGCAACTGCCTTTGCTTACTCCAGAAGATCGCAGGGCCTGTGCCCACTTGGCTGCTGTTTTGTGTGGTGGTGGTGGTTGAGCTGTTCTCTGACCAAATCTCGACGAGCCTGGATGTTTTGGCTTCAATGCTATGTGCTACTGCTGCCTTGTTATCTACAGTTCCAGTGACTGTACCCAAGTTGTTTACTTCTCTCCTTCTGGAGGTCATAGTGGCTATTTTCCTTGCTTGTGTTGCATGTTGGCAGGCTGTGCTAGCACAGACTTTAGATTTGGCATGGTTCTTAACCCTGCATATCTTAACCTCCTTTTACCTCAGCACCTGCTGTTGTAAGGTTTCATAGTCCAGCACCCCCTTACATCTGGTGACTGGAATTACATTTGCTACACTAATAAAAGGATAAAGTAAACTTAAGTGAAGTACTGCTTCTAAGAAGTACTTCTTCTAAATAAACAACTTACTTTGCTCATTCTCCAAATATTATACATTAAAGATGCTAATACTAATCAAAAGCAGTATGAAAAATAAAAGCAAAAAAATTAAGAGCATGAATAAATGTCCTCACACAAAACAAGATATTTAAATGTGCAATCATCAATGTGGTTTTTGTTGTTGCTTTTGTGAGAATTTTTTTGAATCAAGACTCCGTTTTGGTGAGAGCAACGTAGCTCATATATCACACAAAAATCTTTGAAAGATTGCTAAGAAGTAAGATTATGAAACACACAAAATCGATGTCTACATAATCCTGGGTAACATGGGTTTAAAACAGGGCACTCCTGCCTCTCACAATTACTAGACCACTATGACATGGCCTTAAATGCCATGGAAGACAAGCAAAACACTGATGCAATATATATTTTGCAAAAGTTTTAAAAAAAAATGTGACTATGGTGTTATTGCACACAAAATGTACCCAAAAGCAATTACTGGCAAAGTAGGGAGATGGATCTGGGGCCAGATTCATGAAGCAGTTACGCAAGTACGTACGAACGTGTACATCTTTCCTCAATCTTTGACGGCTTTGGTTACATTTACTAACAGTTTACAAGCATGAAAACTTGCCAATCAACTGTTGTTATAAACAGCCTCCTGGTGCTTTGGAGCTCATTAACTGTTTAATAATTGTAAGCAAAGTCGCCGAAGATTGAGAAAAGATGTACATGTTCGTAAGTGCTTGTGTAACTGCTTCGGGAATCTGGCTCCTGGATTGTACCTGGATAAGGTTCTGGGAGTTCTTCTACTCCCCATGCCCGGTCTGGGGTCAGGCTTGACTTTTGAGAGCTTGGTCCAAGAGGCTGTTGCTTGGATCTTTAATTTCCAAATGAAAAGAACCCAGAGTGTAATAGTCAACAAAAGTAAAATCCGAATCATCCGTCATGTAAAGCTCTGTTCCCGAAGGTAACATGATTCTTGCTTGGTAAGTTTTCTTGTCTTCATATCAGACATAGACAAGGATATAGTACTGGACAACTATAATACTGTGTCATCCTTTACAGATAAGATTAGAATTTTCATGAGTAGATAACATAGAGGAAACAGCAAACATCCAATCTGATTTTAATAAAGTCTTTCATTTGGTTACAGAAAATAACATGACGTTTAATAAAATTCCAGTTAATGCACTACAGAAAAAATGAAAATATCAAAACAGGAAGCACATATCAAATGCAGTCAAACCACACAACTGAAAGGAAAAGCAGTGTAAAAAAATTTGAGTAATCATGTCACACTTTTAAAGAACAACACAGTAGCTGTCACAGCTGTAAGAAAAATGACAGGTTAGACACCAAGAACCTGTCAAACGAGATATTACACCAATGATGATACTTTTTAAGATATTAGTGCTCTGTAGAGTGGAATATTGTTAGGTGGCTGGCTCACAGAGCTCGTTATAACCCTCATTATGCAACCGCGATCCTTTCCTTTTATATTTTTAACCCTCAAACCGCGCATGTCATATATAAATGATATCAGTGACAAAGCCGAAACCGCGCACATCATTTATATATGATTTCGTGTCTAGCGCTATAATTTAAACGCCCCGCCTGGGATAGGGGCAGCTATAGTACAGCCACGACCGATAGTTGCCAGATACCACCTAGAAAAAAAATCCAGGCCAACATTTTTGGGTGTTACAGCGTCAGTATTGAGCAAGCCACCAAGGCTGGCGCACGCAGCACGAGCTCACAGCACCGCTGATAGCTCGTGACCACAGCATCGCCTACAAATGCCATAATATAAATGATACTGCTATTATTTAGCAGTGATAGTATTACTGAAGCCCCCTGACTGTGATAAAACTGACCAGGATTCTGATAATAGCAGGATTGTGGTGATATTTAGCGCTGTGCTCCATGGAGGGAGGAGTAAGGCTGTGGGAGGGAGGGTTGTGGCGTCGTTTTCTGACTGTGTGTGGCCACCATTTATTGACTGCACTCACCATACCAGCTTAGTGGTTCGATATGGTGAACACAAATGTAGATACTTATATATAACGTGTGTATAGTGTGAGATAACAGCGAGAGGAGTAGGTTGGGAGCCGCCATTTTGGTGAGGGAGGAGCGTCGTCTGCACGACTTGGCATGTTGTTTACTGATGGCCACTATGGTCTTTGGGCACCATACCAGCTTATTTGTTCAGGTATGGTGAATAAAACAGGTAGATACTTATATATAATGTGTGTATATAGCGTAATAACACAACAAACAATATTGTTGAAGGACAAATATTAGTGCGTCTGGCCTTGAGGGCGGCCGCCGATCAGCTGACTGTGTGAGTAGCTACGTCTTATGGCCTTTACTCACCATACAAGCTTAGATGTACAGTTATGGTGAACAAAACATGTATATACGTATATATAACGTCTGTGTATAGTGAATAAATACAGGAGTAGTATTGTGGGAGGTGAATGAGGGTGAGTGAGGTGGTGTTGAGGGAGGGAGTGGCAGTGAGTGGCTCGCTGGTGTTTGGCGGTCACTCCTCGTTGCTTTTTGACTCACAAGACCAACTTAGTAGTTCGTTATGGTGTACAAAACATGCAAATACTTATATATAACCTGTGTATATAGTGTAACAACAGCAAAACTATTTGTTTATTGTTTTATGAACATAATAATTGAATCACTAATATGCACACCATAATTTTGAGTACAGCGATGGTTCACACATTTTATTATATAAATATACCACAATTCACTGTATGGAATAATATTACTGCAAAAAAACTAAGAAAAAATCAATCAGAGACATTGAAATAATTAGGTAATAATATATTTGTGGCAACTGCCGTCTGACAGCTCGGGCGGAGTAGACCTCGTCTGGCGAAGACTCTGCCAACGCCCCTTTTTTGCCACACTTCCCTACCCTATTGCGGCTAAAATATGCCACCTACGATTTTTTTGTTATTTTTTCCGTGATCAGGGAACAAAAATGAACACTTCTATAAGACGAAAGAAAGAATTCCATTTGGGCCCCTAGCGGTTTGAGGGTTAAGAGGATGTGCAGGCATTAATTCTGGATACTCATGCTAAGTTTATGACTTGTCCTGCACTTTCTCCCAGTTTACTTTGTGGTCTTGGCCGTGCTCCCAACCCTTTCTGCTGATTATGTCTCGAGGGCTAGCAGGTGTCTGTGGCCGAGGTGCTTAAGATGCTGGCTTCTTTGGTGTAATTTCTGCGAGTGTTTAACACTTGATTCTTTCCTTGTTTTTCCTATTTTGAGTTTAATGTAGGGCTTTTCAAAGAGGGGCTTTGGTAACATTGTATTCAAGATTTACTTATCATGGATCTAGGGGAGAATTGCTTAAAAGGCTTGAAGATTTTATTATATGAAAGTAATGAAATTGCATTTCCAGTTACTGTAAGGAGTATGCTCAGGAATGAACCATAATCTGACCCCACTTTATCAAGTCAGTGTTTGGATGATGAAGTACACACTTTTTGGAAAGTGATTTAAATGTTCTTTAAATTTTCTTTAAATCAAAGGTGGTTGAAACATGTTTTAGATATAAAAAATGTTTTCATTTTGATCACAGAGAAGGACTCAAATTATGTTTAATAATAATGAGAAAATATTATGGCAATAGTTGTGATTGAACTCTGCCGGGACTCCTCTTTGCCACACAATTTTTCTCATAGATACTTCACATTGTGATGTCATCGTACAGTACATCTATTATTAATAATTATATAGCACTGTCATTTTCTTGTTTATTTTTCAGGGTCAAAGAGATCAGCTCACAGCAATGCTTATTTCTATGGTTTCTTTAAGAATAAACGCATTGTTTTGTATGATACGTTGCTGGAGGAGTACACTCCACTTAATGACAAGGGAGAAGCTGAAGAGAAGGAGCCAAGCAAGGAGGATAACCCTGGCAAGAAAACTGGCTGTAACACAAGTGAGGTGTTGGCCGTGTTGGGTCATGAGCTTGGCCACTGGAAGCTCAATCATGTTCTGAAAGGCATCATCATCTCACAAGTGAGTGCATGTTATAATTAACCTCCATTGGGAATACTCTTGTTGTTTGGTATCTTTTTATTAGCCCGATAGACGTTACTACAGGATTATATCATAAGCTATCTACAAGTGACTGCTCGGAGGCTGCCTGAGCTTGCTGCTTGTTAGCTCCAAGCCTTGTGTACCCCACCAGGCCCTTGTGAGTCATAGTGCCTACTGGACAACAAAACCAGAATACAGTCAACTTATTAGAGGGCACAGGGAGTTTGGGGATACTAAGTCAACCCAAGCCAAGGGGGAAAACCATCAAAAAGATAGAGCACCCAAAGACACATAATTGACAACCCTGCCAACTATGTACACACTTGTTAGAGGCACAGTATTGGGGTAGACTGGGGTTTTGTTGGTTTTATGTATGCATAGTTTTGGTTGCCTATCAGGGTTTAGTCTAGCCCATGCCTTCCCTTTATGGGTTTTCCCACTTTGGCTTCAGGTGTTAGTCCAGTGAGCATTCACTGTGCCAAGTCTTCAAGCCAGTCACCCATGGTTGTCGCTGGTAATCCCTAGCCCGTCTCATACTCTGATCAACCAGGCTGTGAAGTGGCCGCATTAAATAGCCTGGTTGACCAGATGACCAGCAAGGAGACCTGGTCAGAGACCAGGCTGCAAGGAGATTGATCCTTAGAATTATCAACAGGTATACGACCTTTCCTCTGAGCCTGCTACCACTGTATGTGCTGAGACAATGATTTTCTTCTGTGGTTTCCTTCTGTATTTGTTAATCGTTATTTTATGTACAATATGAAGCTGGCATACATTCCAAGCGATATCTGGGAAGGCTCCATCAGTGGCTTCTGTTGCTAGCCGCCTAGGTATCTCTACACATACTGTATCACACAAGGCCCTTGTGAGTCACTAAAAGCTTATGGGAGATCTGAGGCCAAAATCTGGTCTCCCCATAGAGGCCAGAGAGCAGAGGGGATGTGAGATCACCTTAACTGAGAACATAGGCACCAGAAAGGTAGAGCAAAACAAAACAGACATCAGCAAAGTAAATCTGAACAACTCTGAAAATAAGACAGACTAGTTAGGTTGTTTACGTGCTAGTTACACCTACCCACTGCCAGGCAGCAGCTCCAGGAGCGCCTGGACCAACTAGGGCAACTATCACATGTGCTCTTCATGTTGCCATACTCTTTCGGGTCTCAGTTTTTCAGATAAGTTTTGGCCATCATTTGGACTCTATTTTGGGGGGGGGGACCATTTGCTTGAGTTTGTTCTGATTTAGTCTATGCTTCACATGCATGTGCTTACAAGCCTCACTTGTGATGACCTCAAGTAATTGTTCACCTCAAGCTGCATGTACTTAGGGGTTTTCTTCCCTGGGCACTCAATAGTGTTGCACCTCTGTAATGGGGGCCTGACAGCCGAGTGGACAGTACTAAGGATTCGTAGTCCTAAGGTTCCAGGTTCGATCCCCGATGGCACTGGAAACAAATGGGCTGGGTTTCTCTCACCCTGATGATCCTGTTCACCTAGCAGTAAATAGGTAGCTGGGAGTTAGACAGCTGCTACAGGCTGCTTCCTGGGGGTGTGTAACAAAAAGGAGTCCTGGTCGAGAACCGGGCCGCAGGGATGCTAAGCTATGAAAACATCTATAGATAACCTCAAGATAACCTTCCATCACGTGGAAGTTATCAGGAATTTGAGGGACAGTAATGATCACTTGAGAAGCAAAGTTTTACATCTCAAAGGGCAAATGAAGGAATTATGCAAGGACAAGAATCACTGGGAAGCCAAAAGTAAAGCCTTTGAGGAGAAAAATAAAGTGCTGTACTGAAAATAGCTTTTGAAGAAGTTTAAGCAAATCTAAACACGAGTGAATACAATGAGTTAATGAATACAATAATAAGTAATTTCAACATGAAAAAGAGCTCTTGTCAATACAGACTGAGGAAGTTACACTGGAAATAGAACAGTGTAAGAAGAATATGCAACTTACCTATGCACAGGTGGCCAGGGAGAAAGAAGTAATAGAAGAAGAGCAGTAAAGGAAGCCAGAAACTACAGCAATCAGAGAGCACAAACATAAGACTGGAAGTCGGAAAGGAAATGGAGTGTAACCCAAAACTGGTGCAAAACACAGTTGATCGAAGTAAGTTCCTAATAATTTATGGTTGCAAAGAAAGAGATAACATCTAGGTCAGAGAGAACGAACTGTAGTAGGAGCAATAGTAGTAGATAAAATTGTTGGGCTAGTGGAAGGTCTTACATTGAAAGATAATGTCTGTGGCTACAGGAAGGGAAGGGAACTATTAGGAGAAAGTACCAAGCCATTATGGCTATATAGCCCTTGGAAGGGATAAGGATTTGGGATGAGGTTAAAGAATGGTGCCTGTGGCTACAGGAGAATTGGTGGTACAAAAAAGGAGAGATTGACCCTTGAGGATCACCCTAAACAGATGAAGTACTCAGGAATGTTAGGAAATTACAAAGTGATGAGGAAGGGAAATTATGGTCATTAAGATGAGATATTTCAAAAGAGGAGAGAGAAGCTGAAACAAAACCTTTGTTGAAGCAAAATGTCTAAATGAGAGCAGGAACAAAGAAGAAATAAAAATTTTCTCTGCAAGGTGATAGGGGTAGACAAGCCTGTACAATGGTACAAAAAACCAGCATTGAATGTAATGACATGCCAATTTCTGGGTGAGCCCCGGTGGCTCCTTGTAGCTAGCATTTCTGATGCATGTGTTATCTACTAGGTGCCATCATTCATGAAGCTCTCAGGACTACCGGAGGCGCAGAGCCAAAACTTGGTCCCCTCACAGAGGAGCGGGGAGTGGTGGCATATATATTCAGTATTAAGTTATTTGTTTGCCACCACCAGGGAAGGTACCCAAACAGTCAACAAGACAAAACAACCACAAAAAAAAAAAAAAAAAAAAAAAAAAAAAAAAAAAAAAAAAAAAAAAAAACCACAGCTGGCTACTTCCTATACCTGCCGACTCTAAAACAGCCAAAGAGCTCACCCAAACTATGTAAACTAACGACTGAAAATGTTATGAACCAGCTCCTGCTCGTTCTCCCCTCCCTGCCACTCATTTGAGGGAAGGACGGGCAACCCGTGGCTCACAGGCCACTCCACCCTCAGTTGGAGGGTGGAGATGTAAGAACTTAATTTCCTGGGAGAGAGCGGGTGACAGGGAGCCAGGTTCTTACATCTCCACCCTCCAACTAAGGGTGGAGTGGCCTGTGAACCACGGGTTGCCCGTCCTTCATCGAATATAATGAAATTGGCATTTCATTATATTCGATGCTAGTTTTTGGAGGAAAGCCCATTATGGCTTCCTGTAACTAACTACCCACAGAGAAGAAAAGAAGGGACTTACCAGGGAGGAGAGAGCACCGCAGGAATCACAACAAAGTAGAGACGATCAGTGAAGACAACTGACTTAAAGTCACACAGGAGCACTGAGATTCAGGAGCATTAACCAAGTATTAGACTGCCAAAACCCTGTCGACATCCAGAACCCCTGCTCCTGGATGCCAACCAAAAACATTTTGGCAAAAATGGCTGAGAGGGCAGCATATTTGTGAACATCACGGACACGATGGTAGGCCACAGGCGGGTTAGATTTAATGACACTGTGGATAACCTGAGAGAGAGATGAGCCTTGGAACAAGGAACCAAGGAAACTGCATCCTCCCACAAGGCATCCACCGAGACAGAACCAGTAGAATGAAGGTAGCCACCAACGGACACAAGACATGATGCGCCCCTGGCCGAACCAACCAAGCATAAACAATCAACGAACCCTTCAGAAACCAACCAACTTATTCATCACCTGAAAAGAAGGAGCAGGCTGAAGATGAACAAAACATCCACCTGAATCAAAGGAACAAAATTCTTGGCGCCAAAGGAGAGCACGAAGATCCCCCACCTGGCACCCAGAAGCTAAAGCAATCAAGAAACGAGCCTTGGAGAAGGAATCCCAGACCAAAGGGGAAAACTGTGTACCTAGCGAAATAGAGAAAATGGAGCACCCTATCCAAAGACCATGGCTGGCTCTGGTGGCGCATGAACAGGTCGGAGGTGAAACAAAGCCCGAGACAACTTGCTAAATGGGGCCAAGGAAGTGTCGACCCCAAAAGCAAGCTGCACCGACTCCTCCAGCGCTGCTTGATATGAGGCAACAGTATTTGGCATGAGATGCCAATCCAAAAAGAACCACGACAGGAAGGCAAGAACTACTTGTACAAAGACAAGAAAACAGAAGAAAAAGAAAGTGGTGTAACCATCGTCAAGAAACCTCATACTGTTGCCTCGATAAATTCTGCAGATGTGACACCATCGAGGAAGCATTCTGCTCGCAATAGACATGACGATATACAGTACTTGCGCCTTAAAGTCCAGAAGTGAAGAGCGGAAGAGAAGGCCGAACCAGCGAAGTACATCGTCTGGCCGACTGCCTGGAAGAGGCAGAGATGCAAAAAGATGGCTGGATTCAAGCACAGCGCAAGCAGTGCTGTAAACCAGAGCTGGGTCGGCTACCAAGGAGCCAGAAGGATCACCCACTCCTTATAGGACTTTAACCTCTCCGGGACCTGGAGCAACAGCTAGACTGAATAAAAGAGGTACAGAAACCCCCACCTTCCAAAGTCCTGCTCAAAGGAATGCACTGCACGTGTCCCACAGTCGGGGAATGATGCTACACAAAGGCGGAGATGCCGGGATCAAGCCAACTCAAAGAGGTCCACCCAGGATGTTCAGGTGCTTGAACATCCTGTACAGCTAGAGAAAGGAATCTGCATTGACGGTCTACTCTAAGGAGATGGGACGGAACCAGAATAGACCATTGGAGACTTTCTGAACTTAAGTGGCATGGAGAGCCAAACCCTGAAATTTGGAAGCCCAGAAGAAGAGCCACCTGTAGAGTCCAACTCCTAATAGATAGGGACTGAAGACAATGAAGTTAAGACAATGAACCACAGTGGAACAGTCTGTTGACCAGACCACACACTAGAAGTTGAAGGGACGACGACGTTTCGGTCCATCCTGGACCATTCTCAAGTCGATTGTGAATGGTCAAGAATGGTCCAGGACGGACCGAAACGTCGTCGTCCCTTCAACTTCTAGTGTGTGGTCTGGTCAACATACTTCAGCCACGTTATTGTGACTCATCGCCTGCATACGGAACAGTCTGAATGGAGCTAAAAAAAAATGGAGCCCAGAGAAATCCGAATCCTCCACCGGAGCATGTGACATGGCTGCAAACTCTCGTACAGTGCTGTGCGGTGATGCAGTAGCTGATGAAGGGCAAGCGGAGTCCAGACCTGGCGGTGTGAGAGAGATGAGAGAGCGAGCCCCAGAGGAACCAGTAAAGCCTCCAAAGCCATACCCTGCCAAACAGGTGAACCAGCAGGGCAAAATTGAGGCTCCCGCACAGCTGCTCGAGTAACCACAGTCACCCGAGGCTGGTTCAACATCAACAGCTGGTGGTGCTCTAGCCGGGACAAAGCTGACTGAGACAGGGACGACGACGCCTACCAAGAGTCCCATACAAGGCCTAACCAGGGCCGGAACCAACTCGGACTTTCTCTGATTCACCAAGAACCCAAACCTGGTGAGCTGGAAAAGAACTAGATCCCTGGCTAGCAGACACACGGACTGTCTGGGAGCCCAAACCAGCCAGTCATCGAGGTAGGCCAAAACCCAAACACCCAAAAGCTGAAGGCAGGTCACCACGACCCGAGTCAAGCGTGTAAACATGTATGGAGCAAGATTGAGGCCATAAGGAAGAACCCAGGTGTCTTATTTTCTTATAGGGTGTCTAACACCCTATAAGAAAATATAAGCAAATCCAACCAATCTCTGAAATCGAGATGAATAGGGACATGCCAATAATCATCCTAGAAGTCCAGGGAAATCATCCAGGCACCTGACTTGAGAGCACGGCAAACCTGGGCCAAGATAGTCATCCAGAAGGAGGGGCATGAAATAAACTGGTTCAGCCACAAATGGTCGAGGATGAACCGGAAATCTGAAGAATCCTATTTCAGGACTGGAAAAAGGCAGGAAACCCATCTGAGAGACGAGGTCGTTTTGACCACACCATATGCCACCAAACTGATGATGACTGGAGATGCAGGAGGAAACCTGCCCAACAGACCCTTCCTCCCCCCTCCCCATGAGAACAGAGGACTGACCAGTATCAATGAAGACAGACAGAAGTGACCCAGAAGGCCCACAAATTGTGGGATCTGGAACTGGCAAACATCTCTTTCCCCCCCCCAACTCAGATTTTTTGCTGTACATGTTATGGTGAACAGATAAATGTTGTTTATCTGTGTGTATCTAAATATTGCAATGCTCATTTGCTTAGTCTGAATTTACATAGTGAATTTCCAGTAAATTGAAGCATTGGTTAGTATGTTTACTATGTTCAGGCATCAAAATAGCTTTTTACTGTATACTAATGGTTATTTCTCTCAAGTATAATCTTGTACACAGTACAGTAAATCTAAATACTGCTCATTGTTGTAAATGTGAAAAAACATTTGCATAAATATCTTAAAATTTAAATTTCATATTTGGTTTCAGGTAAACTTGTTCCTGGTCTTTTCTGTATTTGGCTCCTTGTACAAGTACTCACCTCTTTACCGAACCTTTGGATTCTACCGTACTCAGCCAGCCTTTGTTGGGCTCATTATTGTCATGCAGTTTGTTTTTGCTCCCTATAATGAGGTATGAATTTAATTATTTTTGGAGTACTTATTGATGATAGTTGTATATATTACTGCTTATGCTTGATAATCTGAATTATATGAGGCCCACCCTCATTCAAATTAGCCAGTTTTACCTTGAGGTTATCTTGAGAGGAAAGTCTAAAAATAAAAAATTAGAATTTAAGTCAGGTTTTTGTTTGCCAGAAATCTGGGTAATCCAAATTTTTATGAGTTAAACATTCAAAAATTTAAACTCAAATTGATTCAGGTTTCACATTGGCAGAAATCTCAAGGACATAAATTTCTATTCAAGTTGAGACCTAAAGATTCGCGTTACCGGATTTTGAATTGCAGGGTTATTACAGGATATTTAAATTTGCATGAGTGTGTAATCTTTATTTGTAAACCTTAAATGTCTTCATTTGTATTTTTCTCCATATTGTGGGTAATGATAGTGCTTAGGCAAGTCCTGAAAGGGAAATTGATCCCATTTTAGGTGTACAACATCAATCACCTCAGTGTCTGAGGAAACCACAAGAAAGCAAGACAGTGCTAAAGGTCAGGGTTTACTCAAAAAGAAGAAACCTAGCCAGTGCATGACTGACCCAACACTGAGAACTGTTGGACGAACAAAGTGCCCATCAGGGCAACAACAACAACAAAAATTGTTGTGATGAAGAAGGAAACATGAGACTGTTTAACCTGGCAGCCAGAAGCAAGACAAACAAAAACATGGCTTTCAAAAACAATCCCGGTCTGAAGAGGACACAGTAAAAACAAGTGGAAGAGAGAAAAGAAAGCATATGGTCTAGAGAGACTGAATAGGCTCAGGTGGTGCACGAGCAACTTGGAGGAGAAATAATGCCGAGACGGCTTGTGAAAAGGACCTGAGGAAGTATTGACCCTGGGTGCAAGTTGCAGTGGCTTCACCAATGCCACACAATACAAAGTGACAGTATTCTGCATAAGATGCCAATCCAGCAAGAGCCATTATAAAAAGGAGAGAACCGCACACTCAGAAATCTAAGAATAGCAGTGAAGAATGTCAGCTGACTGAGCAGTCTGGTAATGGCACAACTTAAAGAGGAAGGCACTGAGATGACACCAATGCGAAGAGGTCCACTTCCTAGCTCCAGATTATTGCAAAGCCACAGGCAGGACTACTTGCCTGTTGTCGATTTCGGGGATCAGTGTCCCCGTGGCCTAGTCTCTGACCATGCCTCCTGGTTGCTGGTTTGATCAACCAGGCTGTTTGATGCAGCTACTCACAGCCTGACACGAGTTGCAACCTGGTTGGTCAGGTGTCCTTTGAAGGTGCTTGTCGAGTTCTGTTTTGAAAACTGCGAGAGGTTGGCCAGTTATTCCCCAAATGTGTCGAGGCAGTGTTGAAAATTCTTGGGGTCTTTTGTGTTTATTGTGTTCTCTCTTAGCATGCCTATTGCCCCTCTGCTGTTAAGTGAGGCTATTTTGCACATCCTTCCATGGCTTGTGGACTCAGGTGTTGTTATTTCTGTGAGTAGATTTGGAACCAGTCCATCTAATGTTTTCCATGTGTAAATTGTTATATATCTCTCGTGTCTGGGCTTTATGGAATACATATTTAACATTTTTAGGCGATCCCAATAATTTAGATGTTTTATTGAGTGGATTCTAGCAGTAAAAGCTCCTTGCACACTCCAGGTGAGCAATTTCTCCAGCTTTGAATGGAGCTGTTAGTGTGCAACAATATTTCATTCTAGAGAGCACTAGCGACTTGAAAAGTATCATCATTGGCATGGCATTTCCTGTTTGGAAGGTTCTTGTTATCCAATCTGTAATTTTTTTTACAGTTGTGACAGCAACTTTGTGTTCTTTTAAAGTAAGGTCTTCTAACATGATTACTCCTGAAACACTTTTACTTTCATTAGTGTGATTTGACTGCATTTTATGTGGTTTCTGCTTTGATCTTTTAGTTTTTCCATAGCTTAGTAATTGGAACTTATCCTCATTAAACATCTTATTATTTTCTGTGGCTCATTGATTAACATCAGATTTGAGGTATGATGTGTCCTCTATATCAGCGGTCGCTAACCTTTTGGAGTTCACGGATCACCCAATTCATAATTTTAAACCTCGCAGACCACTAATGTAAATCCCGTGGTCTACCAAACAAGAAATGATAGTTATTAAAGTCAAACTATTTGATGCCATTAAATATAACGGTTAAAGAAAATACACAGTTACATACAATACACCAATAAAATTGTCTCACAGACCACCAGTTTGCGACCGCTGCTCTGTATTGTCTACTCTCATTAAAATCCTAGTATCAGCTGCAAACGATGATGCAATATTATAGTTTGTATTCTTGTCTGTGTCTAATGTGAGGATCAGGAAAATAACGGGGCAATTCCAGCATCTTGGGGGACTGAGTTCTTCACGGTGGATGATTTAGAAGTTACTTTGTTGACTATTATGCTCTGGGTTCTGTTTCTTAGGAAGTTGAAGATTCATCTTCTATTTTAGCAGTAATTCCTTTTGTTTGTATTTTGTGTGGTTATCTTGAGATGATTTCAGGGCTTAGCGGCCCGGTCCTCGACCAGGCCTCATGTTTGTTACACATTCCCAGGAAGCAGCCCATAGCAGCTATCTTAACTCCCAGGTACCTATTTACTGCTAGGTAAACAGGGGCATCGGGGTGAAAGAAACTGCCCATTTGTTTTCGCCTTCCCCTGGGGACCGAATCCGAAATCTCAGGACTACGAATCCTAAGTGCTGTCAAGCCCCATGATGATGGACATTAAAATTCACAGGCAATTATATAATAGTGCCACTGTTCTCTATGCCACATAGAGGGGGCTCGGTTCTGGCTTGTGGTCTCCATTAGGCCGAAAAGAAATCAACTGAAATCCATATGCATCCAGTAGTTTGGCATTGTATCAGCATTGTATCTTCAGAGGGCCATCGGGGCTCTCCCAGAAATAGGCGTTTCATTCTGTGCAACATTGTTTTTTTTTTTTTATTTATTTATGTATTTATTTATGGGGGAACAGGTATGTAATATTGGTGCATTCTTAAGGTAAGTGCTAGACTAATTTTTGTTGGATATATATAGCATTGTCAGCTTAGTTGTGGCTGCTTTTTAAATTGTTTATGATAATATAGGAAAGATGTATTGGCATGTTAGAAACAAAACATTGTTTTTGTGGGTAAGTGATTCTTAGGTAAGAAAAAGTTAGCATTTTAGTGATTTGTGGGATAAGGTAAATGAAGTTTAAATATTTCTGTAACTTTTTTCAGATTTTGCAGTTTCTCTTGACAATGTTTAGCCGCTACAACGAATTCCAAGCAGATACTTTTGCCAAGAAACTTGGTCACGCTGTGAACCTGAAATCTGCTCTAATCAAGCTTAATGAAGACAATTTAGGCTTTCCTGTGTATGACCCACTTTACTCGGCCTGGCACCACTCACATCCACCAATACTGGAGAGAATCAGGGCCTTAGAAAAGAAACAAAAGGAAGATTAGTTAGAAAGGCCTAGTTTACTAATTAATTGGGACCACATTCTAATGATTCCTTAAAAATGGGAATGGTAAACTTATTGTGCATCAGCTTGACTGAGCATAGGATGTGCACAGGTGTGATGTGAATGGCACCACATTGTAGGACCAGGGTGGAATTGTCTCCCTGTTTCTTTGTAATTTATATATTTTGGAACTAAAAGGATATGAACTTCAGTTCCAAAAGTTTGTCTGTATTGATCTGCATGTTACATTTCACTGGCCATTGTACAAAATAGCCCAGAGTTCCTCTTTAATGTGTACAAAATGTTCAATCCCAAGGAGTGCACATCATTTAGCTGGGGAAGATGTAATCATCACTTTAAACTTTATTTAACAAAGGTTGATTCTATATATAGAAATTTGTTCAGGATTTGGTTAGTTTATTTTTTTATGATTATCATCTCTGAGCTTTTTTTTATATTGAGTGTGTGTGTGTGTGTTTACTGTCTGTGTCTCTGTACCAGTACAAGCTTTTATGTATTTTCATTAGTACTTGTAACATTAGTACTTGTAACTTTTATACAATGATTTTTCTAGTCTGCTTGACATAAAAATATACAGCAATTGAAGAGTCCTTTGGAGGAAGCGTTTGTGAAGCCATTTGTCATGGTTCATATTAAACAAAATAATTAATTATGTAGTTTAATAATAATAAAAAAATCCTACATTATTATATCAATTTGTTGTCAGAATAAGAGTTGGTGTTATAAATGTACCTGTAAATTACATTATTAAAACTGACCAATTCCTGGGTCTTGTGAAGGAAAGTGTAATGCAGAACATTATGGTACTATATACTCTACTGTAGTACTATTCCTCTTATGGGTGCTGCCTGAATGTGGTGAGGGGATCTTGTGTGCCTCCCTTGGATGGGTTGGGTTGGGGGGGGGGTGGCATTTGCCTATTGTACTCAACTAGTTGTGCTTGCGACGGTAGAGCTTCGGCTCTTTGGTCCCGCCTCTCGACAATCGATCTACTGATGTACAGATTCCTGAGCTTCTCTCGAGCTTCTAATAGTAAACAGTACTATTGCCTATATTAAAGTTCTTGGCAACACTCGAAGTAGACTGGCCACTTTCACAGAGTTGTATAACACATAACTTGTCTATTTGTTAGGGGTAACCTTCATCCTCTTAACACTTCCAGAATGATTGATGCTGCTACCAGACAGTCTAGGCCAAAAATGTTTAAAGTTTTTATGAATACAAAAAAAAAAAAGTTAAGAAAATATTTCACTAAAGGGGCAGCACTGGTATAACGTAATGTCGGGAGTACATGGGCTGTTTGATTTGACCAGGCCTGGGGCAGGCAGGCACTTTTTGTAGGCTGCCAGGCAGAAAAAACTCCCAATATCTTAGGAGCAAACTTCAGCCTGTGAAAATTGTTTTTAGGAAACCTGTATGTGTAGAGGAAACCTGTATACAGTATAGAGAGGTACCACCTCTTGGTGCAATTGTAGAGATCCACAGCCTCAAAGAAGGGAACACAGAGCATTCAGAGAAAAACTTGCCATTTAACTCTGAATATATATGAGTGTTCACTTCTCCTACCACCAGGAAAGTAGTATCCGTAATACTGTATTATATATTTCTTTTGTATTTGACTGATGAATTGTTCTAAAATTATTGATAATTACTGTACTGTATAGGCCCCTCCACATGCCCCTTATCTCCCCAGGCACTCTCTCCTAACACCACCTACCCACCCCATCCTACACCACACGCCTGGAGCCACGGCCGCACAGGATTAATACGGTACGGTCCGATGCCTGCCTTTCTGATCCCGAATGATCTCTGCTTGTCTGGATTGGGCAACATCGGTAGGAAGTTAACTGGACCAGATTTCAACTCTGTATATGCTGATCTGGCCAAATATCTGCTAGTCCGGCTTCTATGGACGTTGTCTGGATAGAGAGAGAGCTATCCGGCCACAATTTTTGCCAGATTGGTAGGCTCCGGATTATCGAGCTTCTACAGTATTTATAGTAGAAAAAATGAAGCTATAAAACAAATATTCCTAGTCCTAGTATAGCACATATGTACTATATTAGGCCTCTGTGCATTAAGCATAAGCAGGTTAGGTTGTCTGCAACATTAATACAAAACCTATTCCTATTAGTCCAAATTTACATATGTAAATGGTCTTGCTACCAAGTAGTAATCTCGGGCTCCTATTGGTTATGATACTGCCACGGTGTTTATTACCTCCCCCTTTTGTTCAAAATTCATCACAAATATAAATCTGACACATTTCTTGCATTTTGAACGAGTATGGTGGCTGGACATTCACAATTTTCTGCAAAATATAAAGGAATGTGTGGAGAACAACTTTCAACATTGCACACACAAGAACATGTGGATCCATGAGCTAATGGGTTGCCTTGGGCAACTAGCCAGGGAAGCATGGCGTCTCACCACTGATAGGGGGACCCGATAAAAATAACATTGACATCTTTGAACCAATGATTTGATGGACAATTGCTAACTGTACTTTTAATTCTTAATCTGACTTGTATAATGTGTGTGTTGGAGGAACCTATTATTTTGCCTTAAGGTAACAATTGTAGTTCAGTTAGCAGTGGTAAGCATGGCTCTGAAGTCTTGTGTTCAATCCCCACAAAAGGACAAAAGTGTTTCCTTTCATCCATTGGCTCTGTTAAACTTTCAGTAAATCGATACCCAGCATTAGATAACCTTGAGTTGCATCCTGAGGCAGTTCAGAAGTTGACCTAGGAAGACTAATAAACCTAACAGGCTTCCTGTCCCCAACTACTGGAAACGATATACTGTAGTAATTGCAGGAGTATAACCCTATACATTTTGTATAACTTGCTACCTGACTTATTATACCTGGTGGTGGTTGTAGGGTTAACCATCCCTGTAGCCTGATCTCTTGGCTAGGCCTCCTGGTTCACAGTACAAATGATAAAAAGTAGGTGGTGGATTGTCTCTGCAGATTTTCTAAGTAAAATTTTTCACCGGCATGAATAACTGGTGTTCAGCCATGACTCAGTATGTTGAGGCACAGAAGTGCTGCTAACTAGCAGTTGCATCTATTCAGACAACAAGCATGAATAGTTTAAATCAAGGTTGCAAATGATGTTCAAAAGAGCTGCTTGTTTTGGCATGTATGTTCAACCTTTCTGGTAATTTTACCTTTGGTACTGTGGAGACCTTGCCTAAACTCCCCTAGGCCTCTATTGAGGGAGCCAGATTCTGGTCTTTGTCTGCAGCTAACTAATAACACTTATTAGTTAAGAGCTTGGTAGGGGTCTTAACACTTGTAGGATCCAGATAGGTAGTTAAGGGAGCCACTGGGGTGAGTCCATACCACAAAGGCACATCCAAACTGTAATAATATTTATGAAATAAATACATTAAACAACTTTTAGATTTTTAGAATTTAATTACAAATCACCAACAACTATTAAAAATCTAATAAATTCTCTTGTAAAATTAACACGTGAAATTTAAATGTCAGGAAAACCAGTGACATTCCTTCTAGCCAGAAGTACAGGCGTATTAAGATACTTTTCTTCACGGCCAATATATTAATTATTCTACCACCATCTTGCTGTCATCTTCACCTCGGGACTTGGAGTTTAGAAGTTCTCGTCTTATCTGAAAATGTAAATGTGACTTAGTAACAATGTATTTATAAATTTATTACATTTTAAAATTTATTTTAGAAGGTAGTGGAGGTTAACTCCATGCATAGGCCTAAACACAATAATGCCCAAGAAAAAAGAAGTCAGCATTGAATGTAATAAAACACCAATTTCTGGGTGAACCTCGGTGGTTCCCTAAACCTGTAAGCTGAAATGGTTACCATCTACTGGGTTCACATCATCTGGACGCCTCCTGCAGACTGGAGCCAGATCCTGATATTTATTTTTGCCACCTCACCAGGGAAGGCAACCAAAAAGTCAGTCAGTACTAAGTACGGCTGGATTCAAGAGAGAACAAAGCCTCAAAAGAACTCCCCCCAACTATCTAAACAAGTGATTGAATTCTCCCATAACTAGAATGAGCTTGTTTGCCCCAGTTTCCCAACTCATTTGGAAAAGGGGGGGGGGGGGGGCAGTAACCCACTATCAACTGGCATCGCCAAGCTCAGTTCTAGGGCAGATGTTGGCAGCTTCCTGACAATTGAAAGGGCATCAGGAAGCCACGGGCTAACCCCAGTGGAGTTTCGTTACACATAACCCCGAAATTAGAGTTTTGTTACAGTCAACACTGGATTTCCAGGGTAGCTTCCCCAAGGAGGAGGAGGAACATAGGACTTTACCAGGAAGGTGGGAGCATCACAGGAATCAGGACAAGGGTGAGACTTCCACCAAGAAAGAAGACCTCCAAAGCCCTTCCCCCCAGGCACTAATATCAGCCCATATTAGTACTGCACAAACACAGCTGAAATAGTGACACACTTTCTAATGCCTTGGGCATGAGGGTACATCGCAGGCTGGCTAGACTTAATCCTTCCAGGGTGCAAATCATATACAGTACTGTATATTTGCATATAAGAACATACAAGTCTCACATTTTTATACTTTAGACCTGCCACGCACTGCAAGGTAGGTCGTGCATTGCCTGAGAGCTCACCACCACATTCAAATGTTTATACTTTCATCAGCTTTCTGATGTCAATTTTCATGCTACGTTGTTCAATTTGGTATCAAATTGTTTGCAGTAGAATGCTCTACAGAAATATTTGCATATAAGAACAAATAATAGAACAACATTACCAATACCATAAGATAAAGTACATTGTCATATGAACAATACCTGCTTTTCTTCATTGTTTACAGTCATTATTCATTCCCGACACTGTTTATGATACCAGATCATTCGTTTTTGTGTTGCTTCCTTCATAAGTGTTTGTACCACAATATCATATGTATAAAAAAATTAACAAATATACCTGTACTTACTACCCAATGATGTTTGTAGAGCATGAGTTGAACATTAGGTAGAACTCTACCTGCTCCAGAAAAAGGTTTCCTGAAGTTGCTCAACCGGTTTTATAGGTAGAGGGGATGGTAAGTAAGCATTACCGTTTCGCCACCACAAATGTCCTCTTGCGACAGGTACAAGCTGTAGCACAGTGCAGCACACAGTGCCACACCACACGACTTGTACTTATACCTGGTGTCCATCCTTTTACCAGACTTGTAGCAGACACGACATCTCAAGAACTTTCTCGATGCAAATTAGTTCATAGTTCAAGTTCCTGTTCAGACGTTCAGGCTTATTAACAATACGAGGTCTTCTCCTAGCAGCAGCAACACTATGAGTTGTCTGAAGTTTGTCTTCGGAGTCAGATGATGAATGTTCATTTCTAGGTGAAGGGAAGAGTGGCCGCTTCACATCTAATGGTCCAGGTATTGCAACAGTGTCACTAGTCAACCCATCCTCTTAAAAATAACGTCACTTTTCGCTTGTATGCGCGCTATGGCCAAATTTGGACGTAATTTTAAATGAAATCGACTCACAAAAGTGACGTACTGTTCCGTTTTCTGTTTGAGTCATTCGGCTTACTCGGCAAGCTTAGGAGAGGAAACTTTTCATTAATGTTTTTCATAACGTTTTGAAACTTTATGAGAATTTCCTGCCCACCTAACCTATCAGAGGACCCTTAACTTACTGTTGTTGGAAAAAAAATCCCAAATTTAGTTTCATTTTTAAATTACGTCCATATTCGGCCATACAGGCAAACGGCCAAAAGTGACATCATCAGCATGTACTCACCTACTTGTGATTGTGGGGATTGAGCTCTGGCTCTTTGGGTCTGCCTCTCGACTGTCAATCAATGAACTGATTCCCCCCTCCCCCCCAGAAAGCAGCCCGTATCAGCTGTCTAACTTCCAGGTACCTATTTACTGCTAGGTGAACAGGAACATCACGGTGAAAGAAACTGCCCATTTGTTTCTGCCACTGCCGGGGATCAATCCCCGGACCCTAGGATTATGAATCCCGAGCGCTGTCCACTCAGCTGTCGGCCCCCTCAAAAGGAGCCCTGACAGCCCGTGTCCTGTTTGATGGACAGGGACTACTCCTTATTGTTGAGAGGCTACTCCTTATACCTAAATTTCCCATCTTTTATACCTAAGTTTATATACTTAAGGTTTATACACCTAAGTTTCCCGTCAGGGAAACCTACCTGAGGGACAAGGTCGTTTTGATCAAGCCCAAGTGCACCCACTCCGAGTTGAGCTGACGGAGCGCAGGGAAAGAAGCCTGCCTCGAACCCCCCGAAGGAGGAGGAGCCGCGCAACTACACAGGCTGGAGGAGACGACCTGAAACGCCCATGAATCGTAGGACTAAACGAGAGCAAACAGAGTGAGCCTCTAGCCCATCGCCCAATCAATGGGGTGACTCGCAAAAGGGCTAACACCCTTTGCGAGAAGCCGGCCGACGAGCAGAGCTTCTGAGCGCCAGCTCAGAAGCTGGCACCAATGGCCCACCCAAACCAGCAGAACCCTGAACCCTGGCATGACACTTCTGAGATAGCCTAAAACAGCCACCCCGGGGAACCAACTAGCCCGACAAAGGACGACAACTAGATGAAGCCGCCTGCAGAAACTGCATGACAGCAGACTCCGCAAACAGCAATGAAAACCTAAGAGCCAGGGCCCAAGCGGATTCCAAAGAGAGAGCGAGCACAGCCTGCCAGCACGCGAGACGAGAAGCAAAGAACAGAGCCACCGCCTCCTTGAGAATCGGTGCAAACCGATTCTCAAGCCTCCTTGAAAATCGGCTGCGCTGTTGAAGCGCAGCTGACGCCCTAGCCGCCGAGGCCAGCGCACCAGACAAAGGTCCTGCACTCAACGCCCCCACGTCCTCCTCAAGCCAGTCCGAGGACATCTCGAGAACGGAATAGAAGTGCAAGACCGAAGCCAAATGCCCACAGGCACGCAAACCCTCAACAACCAAAGACGCCGAAAGGGTATGAACATGCACAAGGCCAACATCACGAGGAAGCACAAGGGAGAACAAGCACGCATTAAGTCGCTCAAACTCGCCCCCAGGTAAACCTGCAGAATGGTACGAGTTTCCCGCCATTCAAGCATGCCAGTCCAACAAAACTCATGTTGTGTCCCCAATGAAAAAAATGAGCAGCCTGCCAGCCAGGAAGACCCTGAAACCTCCAAACACACCCAAAACGAGGTAGAAGAACCAAACTTTAATGAGGAGGAATCCATCACAGAGGGTGAATCCCGGTCTCACAGGAGGTACACAACAAGCACTTCCTGAACCTCCTTAGGCGAGATACGAGAAGCAGAAAATCCCCGGAATGAAGGAACCGAGGAACCCAAGAGAACCCAGAACTGAACCCGGGGAGGTGACGACCCCAAATCATTCTCATACAGGGAAGGAGGGAAGGGGGGGGGGGAGAGAGAAAACCCCTCCCTCTGCAGCAATAGCCCCGTGAATAAGGCACCAAAACTCAGGCGGGTCAAAGGGGGGGGGCCCAAGCCTCCCCAAGTCAACTTCTCCCCAGCAACAGGATCTTCCATCCCAGGACCCGGGGCAGAGCAGTCCTCTATACCCTCTACCCCTAAAGAAAAGGCAGAGTCCAGGGGAAAGGCAGAAAATAAGGGGGGACCTACTGGTCTGACCCAGAAGCCTCAGCAGGAGGAACCGGCTCGAATGCCTGTCCCCAATGCGAAAAGGGTAGCCCCCAAAGTCGCCCAAGTCTCATTACTAACTAAACCCCGCCCCGACTCTGAAACCCTCAGACATTTGGGAGCCGAAAGCAGGACGAACAACAGGTTAAGGACCAGAGAGCATGGACGGAACCAAAGTCGAAGAGACTAATGCCCCCAAGTCCGGGTCCCTATAACCAAAATGGGGAAGCCTCGGGGCATCTGGGTGGGCGATCAACCCAGCGCAATGAAGTAACCTAAACCTAGCATGCAATGCGGATGCCGCCTGTACTCAAATATCAATGTCATCAGAATGGGTAAATTGGAGAACAAGCCTAGAACACAACTCACAAGATTCGGGGTCAAATGTGTCATTCATCCAACAGGCAGCATGGCGGAGGCAAAAGCGATGACTGTCACCCTGAGACAAGGGCACACAGCAACTTTCAAACTCGCACGAGGTGAGCTGGAACTTTGAAGATGCATCCATAGGTCCACTGAACCCTGACAGGGTTTTCCATGGCCTGTAGGCTGACTGCTACGGGAAGCCCTGGCAAGATGTTACTAACTGGTCAAGACCCAAAAGTTAATATGAGGGACCATCAAATCACTCAAACCCCTGCATCGTGTACAATCACAGGGACCTAGCAGAGGGCCACCAACACAATGTAAGTTGTCCTGCACAAGAGACCCCACCAGGCAAAGAAAACAAAAATAAAAGAAAAACCCGACAAAAGTACAACGTCCCCAGAGGAAACAGGAACCGACCGTGCATAGCTAAGCTGGCTGTGCAACACCTTGATGCCCCAACCAGCAATAATACCATTCCCTACCCAAGGCCAAACAAAGTCCACGAAACCCCAGCTGGCTCCAAAGGCGGAGTAAATGCTGTGCAGCAAAAGGGCCTTGTGAGTACTACCCAGGGGTAGTACTCACAAGGCGCTTAGGGAAGGCCACCCTAAGTGCATGTAGCCCCAGTACACTTATCACACTTAGCTACCACACCATAATGTAGCAGAGAACACCACTAAGGCAAAACAATGCTAGGGTTGACGACCACCCCAGATCGCATTAGCCAACGAAATGGAGTTGTTGAATAGCCTGCGGCGACAAGCTGTGTGGCGGCAAAGTGTGATGTTTGCTCGTTTCCTTGGGATTTGGGGAAGTTCTGCCTCTGTTCAGTTTTCGGTTGCAATTTTCTTACCAAATGGGGTCTGTTTTATTAAGCCTACCTTTCTGGGTGCCTAACCCTGGTCTATGGCAGATTAGGAAAAACCCCAACAACAGGGGTGGGGGGGGGAGGGATTTCCAGGGACTATTGCTCCCTGTGCCTCTCTGAGGGGGCTAGTTTCTGGCTTGTGGTCTTCAGTAGGCTGAACTCCTTTGACTAATGCCCTAGTCTAATATATCGCATATTAGCCCGATAGCTAAAGGGAGCCGAAGGGGCTCCCCTCAGAAATACACATAGGCATTAGTTTTCAAACTAGAAATTCATGCCTAACAAATTAACTCACGCCTTTATGATATGGTCACAGACTCTCCAGGAAAGGGATGGATGGGCAAACTTATCTAACTGACTTTAAAAAAAATGGCATTCATAGAATCACGCAAAAAGAGCCTTTTCTGGAAGGTGAAACATGCACGAGTGACAGGCACATTAATAGCTGGATAAAGAATTCTCTAGGCATCGAACCAGATTTGACGAACCTCCTGAGTGGAGACCTACAATGCTCCATACTAGCCCAATATTGTAAATTGTTTATAAAAATTAACCACCCATAAGGATATAGCATTACTGTATATGCACCGTTTTGTGGATCATGCCGGTCAAAATTACCTATATAAATTAAGCACATGGATTAACACAATACAAATGGAATTATCTCTGCTTACATTTTCCTTTGTGATCTACACTCATCATTAAGCAGCTTGTAGAGTATATAAAATAATATTACATAAACACAGACAATGCAGTAATACATTTACAAACCTCTCCAGTGATGGCATGATGGGTGTGGAACCTCACAACATCCAAAAGTGATTGCTTCTGATCTGGACTAAGGTCTTCCTTATAGCGCTGAATGAAAGTTATCAAAGACTGGTGCCATAAAACTGGAAGATCCCGACGGTCATGCTCAAACCTAAGAAAACACATAATATTAAAATATATTTTTCAATCTCTGGAAATATACTGTACAACACATACTCGTGATACAAAATAGATGATATACTGAGTACTGAGGGTGTATGTTACAATGTGCAATAAGAACATGGCACAACAAGCATAGGAAGTGTAATATGCACAATATGAACTTAGTGGTGTAATGAGGACAGGTAGTGTATTGGGTATAAATGGGAAGGAGTGGAGATGTTATTCTTTTGATGTGGGCTTCAGGAGACAGGTTTGGCATGATATCAATTCCTAGATCTTTCTCTCTGTCCGTTTTGTGAAGGACTTTATCTCCCAATCGGTATCCAGTGTCTGGCCTCCTATTTCCTCCACCTAGTTTCATTACCTTACATTTACTTGAGTTGAACTTCAGTAGCCATTTGTTGGACCATTCCTTCAGTTTGTCTAGGTCATCTTGTAGCCTCATACTATCTTTCTCTGTCTTAATCCTCCTCATAATCTTTGCATCATCAACAAACGTTGAGAGGGAGTCTATTACCTCTGGAAGATCATTTACATATACTGTATCAGAAACAGTATAGGTCCAAGGACCAATCCCTGTGGGACTCCACTTGTAATGCCTCTCCACTCCGAGACCTCACCCCTCACAGTGACTCTGTCTTTTGTTGCTTAGGTACTCCCTTATCCAGTAGAGTACCTTCCATTTTACTCCTGCCTGCATCCTCAGCTTGTGCACTAGTCTCTTATGTGGTACTGTCAAAGGCTTTCTGGCAATCCAAAAATATGCAGTCTGCCCACCCCTCTCTTTCTTGCTTGATTTTTGTTGCCTGGTCATATAATTCAATTGACCACGCTGTGTTTTGGTGGTTGTAAAGGAATATGTTGTTAGTGTGGTGGTAGTTGTCATGGTGTATCAATGACCACAAGAGAATGAGACCTAGCTCTTTATATGCCCTACCTCCTAGCCATTCATACCAGACATGCTAATTACTGGTTATTAGCATATCTGGCATTAGTAACACAACCAAACTTATCACTGTAAATATGAACAACTCAAGCAATAATGGCTGCCTATCATCACTGCTGTGTGCAAGGAACAATTTGGGGCTCAAAATGCTACTCGGAAAATTATTTGCACACACATAAAACTAACATGTACAGTAAGAACCGTACTGCATCAAATCTTAGACAAGAAACACCACCTCAGCTCACCTGGGTCACACCTAGTGCCATGAAAATGTAAGTCAATAATGTGTATGTAAAATAATTACAGTTTGCCTATTCTTGAGCCAGCTCATACACATGAGTTTCGTGTCTTGATGAATGCAGCCCACACAGTTACTGCCTCTTCTTTACTGACACACAGGAGTTGAACAAATCACAGGAGTTGCTCTAGAGTTACTGTGGTGTAGTGACAGAACTAGAGAGGGCTGGTGGAGTTGATGCCTATTCCTCAGTATTGCCTTCTTAAGAATGACAAAATGGAGCTCAAAGCGAGATGGCTGAACTCGTGCATCGTATCCATGAAGTCTTTCCATGGAGCACCAATCAAAATGCAGTTTGAACCATACATATGCATCTGATTGGGTAAATTCTGGATTTCAGTGACGCATCTGGGAGTGGGAGTAAGGGTTTATTAAAAACCATTGGCAAAACCAATCCTAAGTGCACAGTACAGCAGCCATGGGTACAAGTCTAGCTGGGAGAACACAATTCTCTCACACAACCTTGAATGCATTCCACTCAAACAGACTGCAAAATTCCTTACATCTCTTCGACACAACTATATGTCCAGCTTCCACTAATGTCCTCTTGTCCAACCTCTTTTTAATTTAAATAAGCTTTCTTTGTCCACTTTGTCTATTCCCCTCAGGATCTTGTAAGCAGTAATCACATCCCCTCCAATTCTTCTCTCCTCTACGGTGGTGGGGGCAAGTTTCCTCAACCTGTCCTCATAGCTGAGGCCTCTCAGTTCTGTTACTAAAGTAGTTGCAAACCTTTCAACTTTCTTGAGTTTGTTTGTGCTTCAAAAGGTGTGGGTTTCATACTGGAGCTGCATATTCAAGTAATGCTCTCACATAGACAGTGTGCATGGACTTGAAAACCATTTAGATTCTTAAATGATATTCTTATGTTTGCTAACGTCCCACATGCTGCTGATGTTATCCTGTTCACATGAGCTTCTGGTGTTAGTGTTGGGATTATGTCTACTCCCAGGTCTTTATCTCTTATTTATTCTTGTAATTGCCTTCCCTTTATTGTATAGTTAAATACAGATCACTTATCTCCATTACCCATTTTTTTTTTACTTTACACTAATTTTGGGTTGAATTCCAGCAACCATCTGGAATTATCTGCTCACTCCTGAAGTCTATCAAGGTCTTCTTACAATCCTCTTCAGTTCTTACTCTCCTCATTAACTTTGCATAATCTGCAAACATCGACATGTATGAGCTCTCTCTCTGAGCTCATACACAGAGCAATGGTCACAGGGCAGAGCTCTGTGGAACACCACTTTCCACCCCTCTCCAGCCTGACATATCATTGCCGATTGGTTACTTCCTCCCTGTTAAGTGCTCCCGTACCAAATCCAGTGCCTTTCCTGTAATCCCTACTTGTCTCTCCATCCTGTATATTGGTCTTTTGGAAGGAACTGTATCAAAGGCTTTCTGGCAGTATAGGATGATGCAGTCTATCCATCTATCCTTCTCTTGTCTTATTTTGATGACCCTATCACAGAATTCAGCCAAGTTTGTTAAGCATAATTTTCCCTCTCTGAAACCTTGTTGTGTGTCTGTTATAAAATTTACTCCCCAAATATTTTACAACCCTTTTTCTGATAACTTTTTTCTAGCATCTTGCATGGAATGCATGTTAGCATTGCTAGTCTATAGTTTAGACTGATGTACTCATTCCCCCAATCTCCTCACCCAGCAGCTGTGTACATCTTACATAACCAAAAAAACAGATTTTCTGGGGGAAGCCCCGTCAGCTTCTTTAAGCTATCCGAACTAATGTGTGTTGTGTTAGTTTGAGGTCATCAGTCACAGGAGTTTCTAGACCTACCAGAGACCATCAGCCAGAACCTTGCCCCCCTCAGAGGAGCAGGGAGCAATGGTGTATGAGCACTTAACATTTAATGTATGTCATAATCCACCATCGACCGGGGCATTTGCCTAGAAAGAAAGGCGAACCAAAACAAACAACTAGCTGGTAAAATTGCTACCTACAGCCAGAAAGAGCCAAGAGACTCCTGCTGAGAGAAAAGAGAAAAAAAATAGTAACCCTGTCCTCATTTAGTACTCCCGCTCACTAGCGTAACTCCATTCCCCCCCGATAAGGGGAAAGGGGAAGTCATCTCAGACAAACTGGCCTCCCTACTGATGAAAAACCTACTGACTGAGGGAGGGAGAGTGTCAGAGGAGCCTCCGAGAAAAAGTGCACTTCATTACATACAACGCTGGGTTTCTGGGAGGAGCCCTGTAGGCTCCCTGAAGCTACCTAACTCAGATAAGGAAAAACAGGGACTTACCCGGGAGGTGGCAACACTGCTAGACTCAAGTCGAAGAAGAAACCGACAGTCGCAACAGACACCTCTAGCCACACAAAGCCGGAAAAGGCCTGGCTTGATACCTGCTTGACGGGGTTCTGGGAGTTGTTCTACTCCCCAAGCTCGGCCTGAGGCCAGGCTTGACTTGTGAGAGTTTGGTCCACCAAGCTGTTGCTTGGAGTGGCCCGCAGGTCCACATACCCACCACAGCCCGGGTGATCCGGAACTTATTTTAGAAAACAGTCTAGTTTTCTCTTGAAGATGTCCATGGTTGTTCCGGCAATATTTCTTATAGTCGCTGGGAGAACGTTGAACAACTGTGGGCCTCTGATGTTTATACGGTGTTCTCTGATTGTGCCTATGGCACCTCTGCTCTTCACTGGTTCTATTCTGCATTTTCTTCCATATCGTTCACTTCAGTACGTTGTTATTTTACTGTGTAGATTAGGGACCTGGCCCTCCAGTATTTTCCATGTGTATATTATTTGGTATCTCTCTCTCGTCTCCTTTCTAGTGAGTACATTTGGAGAGCTTCGAGACGATCCCAATAATTTGGGGGCTTTATCGCGTCTATGCGTGCCCTATATGTTCTCTGTATTCCCTCTATTTCACCAATCTCCCCTACTCTGAAGGGGTAAGTGAGTACTGAGCAGTACTCAAGTTGGGACAACACAAGTGACTTGAAGAGTACAACCATTGTGATGGGATCCCTGGATTTGAAAGTTCTTGTAATCCATCCTAACATTTTTCTGGCTGACGCAATATTTGCTTGGTTATGCTCCCTAAACGTTAGATCGTCGGACATCATTATTCCCAAATCCTTGACATGCTGTATTCCTACTATGGGCAGATTCGATTGTATTTTGTACCCTGTATTATGTTTCAGATCCTCAATTTTGCCATACCTGAGTACCTGGAATTTATCACTGTTAAACATCATGTTATTTTCTGCTGCCTAATTGAAAACTTTGTTGATATCTGCTTGCAATTTTTCAATGTCTTCAGCAGAGGTAATTTTCATGCTGATTTTTGTGTCATCTGCAAAGGATGAGACAAAGCTGTGACTTGTATTTTTGTCTATATCTGATATGAGAATAAGGAACAGCAGTGGTGCAAGGACTGTACCTTGAGGTACAGAGCTCTTAATTGCGCTTGGATCGATTTTATTTAATTAATTTCATTAACCGTTATTCTTTGTGTTCTGTGCGACAGGAAATTTATTATCCAGAGACCTACTTTACCAGTTATTCCCATTGACTTCATTTTGTGTGCTATCACTCCATGGTCACATTTGTCAAATGCCTTTGCAAAGTCTGTGTACATAACATCTGCATTTTGCTTTTCTACTAGTTCTTTCTAGAGCATTTTGCCCAGAACCTTCATGAGATATTAGGCTGCCAGGACCCTGTTCGAACTCAGATGCCCCCGCGCCTGAATGGCAAACCAAGGCATATTACCAA